CATCTATTTTATATAGATCTGTCGTATGCATTTAATACACAATTCTAAAAATAAAAAAATAAAAACTATAGGCCATGCAACATGTACTACAAGTATACAACAGGGTTTATACTTGGTACAGGCACATGAAATGTGATTGAATTTAATGAAATAGTTTTTGTGTCACCCGAGACCATTGTTGTAAAATGTGACACTTAGTGATTACAATCAGCATAATCGTGCAGCAGCATAAACTATTTGAATAAAGTTTGATATTTCAGAAGATAGATGACCTGGATGTTTTATACCTTGTACACAGATACATTTTTGTGTACCTTATATGTGTAGTCACTAAGTTTCTGTCCAACAAATGTCCATTGTCCTTGACCTAATTTTTATGGTTCAGTGACTGCTTGATTAAAAATTATGCTTTTTTTTCTCATTTGAAATTTTCACTTTACAAATGTATTATGGTCAAGTCTGTATCTCAGATTCTATAAGCAATAGGTCAACTATATTTGGTGTATAGAATAATTGTTAGATGTACATATGCATTTTGGACTAGCAGTTTTTCATCGAACCTTGACCTCTTTTTCATGGTTCAATCTTTAGTTGTTGTGGTTAAGTCTATTTCTCAAACTAGCAATTAGGCCTCTACATTTGGTGTATGGAATGATTTTAAGGTGAACATGTCCGACACAGGCATTTTTTTCTGACCTTGACCTTTTTCATGATTTATTATTTATGATTTTGGTCTATTTTGCAGACACTTTGAAGCAATAGGGCCACTATATTCTGCATATGACTTCTGCAGCCCTTCTATGTCAAGTATATATTGATCTTAAAAAATGACAGGTTATTGATAATTTAGTTTATTGCTTTCAATTTTAAAAATTTGATTAAAAGGTAAAAAAAGCTAGAATTTTCATTTTGGACTAAGGGAGCTACCATTTGATTTTTATGGGGGGGCTAGGATGAAAAATTTTGTTCTGCATTTTTTTTAGTAGTAATATCTGTCCTGCCTTTTTATTTTTCACTCTATTTGGTCCTGCCTTTTTTAAAGTTTATCCTGACTTTTTTTTTTACCTAAATTGTCATCCTGAGGCCATGTTTGTTTGCCCATACCCTATCTACCAATATAATAGCTGCCTACTCAAAATCTTTTATTGTCCTGATGTGAAAAAGTTTTTTTTTTAATCAGATAGGCATGAAGACTAAAAATCATCTGACACTTTAATTACTCTTTACTGGGAAAAAAGAAAATGCCTACCTACCTACCCACTGTCTCTACCTTTGGGTAGGGTTTGGGCAAACCAAAATATTTTTAAGTGTGGCCTGACTTTTTTTTTTGCAAGTGTCTCATCCTGCCTTTTTTTTTACTCAAAACTCCTGTCCTGCCTATTTTTTTCAAATTTCATCCTAGCCCCCCCCCCCTAAAAATAAAATGGTAGCTCCCTATATAACTTTTTCAAATTAACTTGGATTTGAATAAAACTCTACAGCTATCTCAATCATATATTGATCTTACAAAATGCAAGGTTATTTGGAAGTCAGGTTTATTGCTAGCTGTAAATGTAAGGATTTATTTAAAAGGTAAAAAAGCAAGAATTTTCAGTTCGAGCTAAATTCACAGCTATCTAAATCATATATTGATATTACAAAATGCCTGGTTATTAGTCCCCTACCGTCAAAGTCGAAGGGGACTTTAGGTTTGCACTCCATCCGTCAGTCTGGCAAATCAGTTTTCCACACTTTTTTTTTTCTTCGTGCTTGAAGATATTGATTTGATTTTTGGTGTATTGTTTTATCATGACAAGTTACAGATCAAGTTAGAATTTTATTTATCAATTATTATGTCAATGATAGACAAGGATTGGTTTTTTGTATATATGTATCTGCTACAGCATGGGAATTGTATAGGAAATACACATGTATTTAAATATATAGCCTACTACTTAAGATTTTTTTCTTACTAGATACAAAATAAAAGAGCCCCCCCCACCTGACAGTTCACAAAAATTCGTACAGTAAGGCACCTCTCTAGTAGACTCGACCAACTGAGCTAAATAAAACTTCACCAGAGCAGCTAATAGAGGACTGTTTTTTTTCTTGTATGCAAGCCGGGGGGGGGGGGGGGGGGGGGGGGTGGTGCTTGTGGCGCTAAACATATATATGTATGGTTTATCAATGCTTAGACTTTTTACATGTCCAATTCAAACTATGCATAGTTTGCACCCCCTTATCAAAATCCTTGATCCACGTCTGGCAGAGGGAAGCAGTCAGGGGCGGATCCAGCCATTTATAAAAGGGGGGAGGGGTTCCTAACCCAGGATAAAGAGGGGGGGTTCCAACTATATGTCCCCATTCAAATGCATTGATCGTCAAAAAAAAGGGGGGGTTCCAACCCCCGGAAGCCCCCCCTCCCCTGGATCCGCCTCTGGCAGTGCTATAGTGTACAGTTTAACAGTGTTTACTGTACTCTTTAATTTCCACGATTACGATCCGACCTCAAGTCATAAAGCATATGAGGCACATCTGAAAACTTTGACAAACGTCACATATTTGAAATATTCATGGCTATAGTTACAATATGACGACGAAAGAGATTTAAAAACTATTTCCAAACGATTAACAATCGAAGCGATAAATTTTAAGTCCCATTGTTTTTATTTTTTGGATACCCTCGGGACTTTTCAATGAACCTCATTCAAGTAAATATGTTCCGCGTGCGCTGTTCAGATTGGATAACTAGAATTCTGATTGGTTGAAAAAGTCACATGCAAAATCTTTCAGAAGTGAAACCTTATACGGGTAGTTGTTAGATCTTCGTATGTAGTATAACGTAGTATAACGAAATCCGAGATCTATATTTTAATTAGATTGTTTGTTACCTTTAACTCAATGCAAAAAATCTCTACCTTATATGAATCGATTCTTTGAATATTTTCCTTTAACACTAAACATATTTTATATTCCCTCAGTGATCCTCTTCATACTAATCTAACTATTATTCACTAAACCATGGACGGACATTTTGAACTAGCAAATTCTTACTCTATTATATATGGATAATACAATGGACAATATTTTAAAATTTGAATTCTCTCAAGTCTAGCTATAATATATAGAATAGTTGTGAATACATGTAAAAAAAAATATCTTAACAGCAAAAAATGAATTCAGACACTACGTAAAACAATGAGCAGGGTCAGGAACAAACTTCTAATATTTGTTTTGAGGTTTGTTGGCCCTCTATACAATACATGCTATATGAGAGAAAGAGAAATAAAAGAAAACGAAATTACTGTTGGCATTTTAAAAGATTCCGTTAATTGTATGCTTTCTACAAGAATTGTAAAACAAGTATGAACATAAATATACTATGATCATAAAACAAAGACATTAATATGACAACATACGAACAGTATCCCACAAAAGATTATGTCAACCCAGTATGTTAAGCTTTGAAGGGTAAGTACGATAAGGACGTTTTTCGTCTTCCAACATTAACGTCCAGCGACAAAGTAATATGCATATTCAGGACGAAAACATGTTAATGGTATATGAATATTAACTCTGCTTTGTACTATACTAACAGGCTGAGTCAATCTAATTAAAATGTAGTTCTCTAATTTCGCTATAATGAAGTATAGCGAAATCAGAGAACTATATTTTAATTAGATTGACGCTGAGTCGGATTTTTAACGTGCAGTCCACAGGAGGACATGTCATCAACCCGGGCACACAATTCTGACTCCGAGCCGACCAGTCTTTGCTCTTCACTGACTCCTTTATGCCGCGTTCTTAGCCGAGAAGCAAAAAATACCAATTTGAAAGTCTTTTGTTTGACACGCGGCCGGGGTTCAAACCCACGACCTCCCGCACTCGATGCGAACACGCTACCACGAGACCACCAAGGCGGTTCTCAACATTAAAAGTTATAGCTAATAAATATGAAGACATGTCATGACAAATAAAACAATAACAAATTAACGATACAGTATCAAACTGTATGCTTAATACCGTTTTTGGTAAAATTTGTTGATTCTATTATGTCGATGGCCTCATAGTGAAATCTAAAATAGCATTGTACAATCTAATTAAAATATAGATCTCGGATTTCGTTATACTACGTTATACTACATACGTATGTAGTATAACGTAGTATAACGAAATCCGAGATCTATATTTTAATTAGATTGAGCATTGTAGAACCTATCCCCTTCTTTATAACCAATGACACTATCATAATTTGAAAAAGAATGGCGAAACTAGTATGTTTTGAATTGCAGGCGCTTACAATAGGTCTTATATAACAAATTATCCTTTTGAGTATTTTTCTCAAAAAAGTATATTCAAGAAGTCCAATAAAACTAGATAATCTCAAAAAAAAAAAGAAACCATGATTCAACTGTAAGGATACTCATTATTCAAATATAGAAAAAGAGGCGTGGGCCGGGCATTCCACATTGCAGTCCAACTACAATGAATAGAAAAGATCTTCAAAAAAAAATAACCATACATATGTCATAGTAAAGCCAGAGACATATATATGTGTATATATGTCTCTGGTAAAGCTTTACATTTTAAGTATCATTTTGAAAATATGAGAGATACCGTTGGAAATATATAATTTGTGTTCTTCAAGGATTTGTATAGTACAAATCCTTGGTGTTCTTATATATATGTTTATATTTTACTAGTACGTTTCATTCTCTGCACTTTAAGTTTTCGATGCCTATTATAAACGAAAAAAACATTCAGATGGAAGCGGTAATACTTTTCTAACACAAAGAAATAAACAAACAACCAAAGAAAAAGTAAACGAACAGCATATCTAGTATTTTAGGCACGGAGCAATTGATATGATATTTTAGTGGGTGTGGGTGGAATCCATGACAACTCGCCCCATTGGAAAATCGACCCACTTTTTCACCAACTCGCCCCACTTTATAAAAAATCGCCCCTCTCTTGTTTACCAACTCGCTCGGAGCCTCCAATTATGAAAAAGGGTCGAATCGAGTTGATCGAGACCAGCTTTTAGCTTTTTCGATTTTACTTGGGACTATTATACTAAGTTAGTTAGTATAATAGTCCCAGGTTTTACAGATGGAAATCAATAGACTAAATCTGCGCATGCTCATCAAAATATAAACATCCGGTTTGAAAATGCAAAACAAATTTGATTTATAGAACTTGGAAAACCAGACCAATCAGACGGTGGTGCTTATAGTGGTTGTCATCACAATTTTGTATATATATCATAACTGGTCGAAGGAGGAAACATGACATCTTCGTTTACTACAAGGTTGTCTGGACACTTGCACCGTATTTTAAATGTACGACGTCGTATTTACCCGTCGGCGTCGGTAAGAATACTAAGATTGTTCTCAAATGGAGAAACGGATGAGATCGAGTCTTTTTTAAATGATTACACGGATTTGGAGTTTCGACCACTCCGCATGAAGACCTGTATCTTTGGAGAATCCTTCACCAACGCACGGATACACTACGATGAATTTTACTTTACTGATCCATCCACTGGCGAAGAAAGTGTACCTACTATTGAGCTAAAAACCTTGTTTCATCAAGGGATGGAGAAGTTGGAAACATTTGTCAGAGGAGAATTCAACATAAGCCCCCAGAAGAAAGAAAATCAAGATTGTTTTAGTTCAATTTTGGCTTTGCATTCCTTCATTCAAAATATTAGTAAGTTCTTTGATATTTTAGGTAACCTGGCTGTTGCCATGAGCTGGCGTCTGTCACCTGTTATCAATTTACAATTCACATTGTAATCTCTGCTGAAACTACATGTATGGGTTGGAGTATGGCTATACTGTAACAATAGAACTGAGGCTACGATTACGATGGATTTCATATCAATTTAAACACTACATGCATTGAAACAACTACTGCACTAACAAATTTTAATGTTTCTAAGAAATTAATTATGTACAAAAGTTATGTTACGCACCTACAACACCAGTAAGCTTTTTGGTGGGTGTTTTAAACTAGTGCATTTCAAGACACAGTAGTAGGTTTTGTTCATTGTTGAAGGCTTTACAGTGACCTATCGTTGTTAATTTCTGTGTCATTTGGTCTCTTGTGGAGAGTTGTCTCATTGGCAATCATACCACATCTTTTTATTTTTATATAGCTACGAAATTTTACTCCTATATCAATATTCTCTATATAACTTTGCTCCATTTTTATATTAAATAGTAAATGTCTAGCTTTGAGTTGAAATCAGAATACTTCTCAGTATATTGAGGTGTTTTCATACCTTGAGGTGTTACACTGTTTTTGAAACTAAAAAGTATCGTTCCAGGATTATATTAAATTACAGTGTTTTCCATTCGGCATTTAAGCCGGGTGTGCCGACCACCTTCTTTTGAAAGCCGACCACCTTTCCATTTTAGGAGGTGGTCGGCTTTTTTTCAAATTCCAGATTTTATTAATGATATCGTCATTTATTTTTTAAATACTTGAATAAAACAACTCAATTACAAAGTTACATGCAAGTCTGCTGTATGTGCCATAAATGTATTTGAATTGAGTCGTAAATTACAGATTGAATTAACAATCTTAAATTTGTGGTAGTCCTAACCTCCAATCTATTATTACATTGTACATTATTAAGTTCTGAAAATACCGTATCTGCATCTAGATATTGGTTTGTTATTTACTTATTTTTTGCACCCGTCATAATCGTAGCCTGCAGTCTACACTTATGAATCCATATACGTACATGTAGTTATTGTAGACAGTACCCCAAAAAATCTTGTGTTTCAGGTAACATACTTCATTTGCTTGAATATATACACGATATATTAGGGTTGGTCATTCTGTTTATTTATACGACACAAAATATGTGTGTCTGTAGTCCGCATCATAGTACCGTGTCCATGTCATCTGAAAAATCAAACTTAATTAAAAATAGCGTTGCAATATGTCTATGAAAAGGTTATTGAGAGTAGAAATAAATTATATTAATATAAAGCACATTGGGTCCAGTTGTGAAAAGGAAAAGGGCCAAAAAAGAGAGAAACAGGGTTGAAATCAGAAATACTTAAAAACCAGGAGTCGGTTTCACAAAAAAACTAACGACTAAGATTCATCATAAGTATACTAAATTGCTCTTCACTTACGATCAATCTTAGTCATAAGAATTTTTGTGAAATCAACTCCAGTCTTGTATTATATCTATACTTAGGTATCAAAGATTATAAGAAAGTGATTACAATTAAAGGGGCTTTGACTAATAAAAAAAAAAAAAGAAGCCTTAGTTAGAGAAAAATCGAGGCCTTTTTATTGAGGTACCTGTCATTTTCCAATTTAAGTAAACGTTGCTGCCGTTCAAGATATGAAAAGAAACGAGACATTACGGAACACCTCTTCCCTATTCTTATCTCGAAATTCACTCAAAATGGAAAGTGACAGGTACCTCAATTAAAAGGCCTTGTATGTCTTATGATTTACAAATACATGTACTGAGAAAATTTGATTAGAACAGTGAGTGGAATGATAGAGGAAGCAGTAATTTACTGTACATAGGACGAAATCTATGGTCAGTTTAAAATTATTTGCTTATTAGTCCCCTACTGACAAAGTCGAAGGGGACTTTAGGTTTGCACTCTGTCCGTCTGTCCGTCCGTCTGTCCATCCATCAGTCCGGCAAATCAGTTTCCAGACTTCTTTTCTTCATGCTTGAAGATATTGATTTGATATTTGGTGTATTATTTTATCATGACAAGTTACAGGTCAAGTTCGATTTTCACGATTTTAGCTTTTCTCCTTGTTCAGTTAAAGCAATTTCCCTAGAATTAAATTTTTGATGAAATACTTATTAATTACTAGATTTCTGTTCAAAGGGAATTAACTCATTTTTTAACTTTCTCTAGAATTAAATTTTTGATGAAATACTTTTTAATTACTAGATTTCTGTTCAAAGGGAAATAACTCTTTTTTTTAAGATTTTTAAAAGACATTGTATTAAGATAAATGACATTTTGGATTTTTTTCCTTTTCTTTAGTAAATTGTTTGAAGAATTTAGTGGTAGGTTTGCTCCATTACAAAGAATTTTTAACCGGTAGGGGACTATTTATTGCCATGCAATACTCACAGAATGCTTGTTTTATTAATAACACGAATTGGCAAATATTCACCTTTCACTTTCTGGAAGTTGTTTACCTTGTGGAATTAGCTTTTTGGGGATGTTTTGAATTTTTATAAACATATTTGTAACAGCTTCAGCTGCCTTTTACTTGAATATTTAGACTTGTTTAACATTTTTATGAACCTGAAGGTACTGTATAAAAATGTATTGGACAGAATTTTGGTCAAAAATTTAAAAAAAGGGAGGCAGAGTCCAGTCCACATGTTCCTGTGTAGCCAATATGTGAAATATTTGATTTAATTTCACTCTAGGACATGATGTGATGTCACAATAGCACAGTATGCACCAAACCAAGATAACCCTAGAGCAGCTTATAGAAGACATATGTACATGTAAAAAATGACAAACTGTAAAAGTTGATTGCAAGTTGTTAATAGGTGTCTCTGATGAATAGCCATTTTCAAATGTTCAATTGATTAGATAAAATATTGACATTGTTTGATTTATCTGGGCTTATTCTAGCAGCCACAGCACAATGATGCAGTGTTCAAGAAATGGGTATTGTATGTGGCTGTTTGGTACTTATCTACATACATATGTACATGTACACATATATCAAATATAAATTCAGACTTCAAACTTTCAGTCATCCTGACAAAAGATTGAGTGGATCACAAAACTACATATATATTTTTTTTCCACAAATAAATACTCTTTATTCAAAAATATACTTGTTACATGTACAATCGTACTTCATTGACTATTAGCTTCAATGAAGTACCCAAGAGTAATAACCAGAATAGATTACCAAGAAATATAAAATATTTTTTCTTTTGTACATTCTATTGAATACTCCTTTCAACATTCTGGAAAGCTATCTTTTGGCTACATTGTTATGCTTTGTTTTCATTTAAGGATGTACTTGGGTCAGGTTTAGGAATTTTTGTCAGATGTTTGGAATCCTTGCAATTGGTTTTTTTCCTAAGATACACGGTAAAATATTTTGCCCCATAACACCCATTTTTCTTTTCATATAAGACTTCAATAGCTAAAAAAAGGTCATTTACCAAAATTTAAGCAGATTCGAGATTTCTTTTCTTTCGATTTGAGACCCAAATAATACCAATGCAAATATAATGTAAAAGTCTGAGTCAGCCTATTCCCACCACTTTTAGTTCACCTTTCCGAAGGAAAAGTGAGATTTTGCCATCACTTGGCATCTGTCGTCGTCGTCCTCCGTCCGGTGTAAACTATTTCAAACATCTTCTCCTCTGAAACTACTGAACCAATTCAAACCAAACTTAAGCTGAATGATCCTTAGGGTATCTAGAATAAAGTTTGTGTTTTATTTTCTGTTTCCTCAGAAAACATGGCCGCCATGGCTAAAATTGAACATAGGGTAAAATGCAGTTTTTGACATATCTCAAAAACTTAAGCATTTAGAGCAAATCAGACACATGAAGTTACAGTATTCATTAGGTCAAGGTCTACCTGCCCTGAAATTATCAGCCAATCTGATTTTTAGGTTATTGCCCCTGAATTGATGATTTTAAGGAAATTTTGCAGTTTTCGGTTATTATCTTGAATATTATTATAGATAAAGATAAACTGTAAACAGCAAAAATGTTCAGCAAAGTAAGATCTGCAAATATGTTTAATGACCAAAATTGTCAATTAACCCCTTAAGGAGTTATTGTCCTTTAAAGACAATTTTTCACAATTTGTTCATCTAGTTTGCTTACTTTAAAAAGTCTTCTCCTTTGAAACTGCTGAATCAATTTCAGCCAAACTTGGGCTGAATGAGTTTCATAGTATCTAGTATAAATTTTGTAGACAGATACAAAGAACATTTAAATGGCATTTTTAAGCCACTCATCATTAATATATATTGAAAAGCAAAAATATTCATTGATGAAAGATTTAAGCAAAAAATTACAGGTGACTGATTCAGGCTCTTGAGAGCATCTTGTTTGAAAATTAAATATCTCGAAAAGGAGCTCCATAGCTTATCAATCTTTTTAGCTTAATTTGTTCTTTAACTAATGCCCTTCTGTCTTATTGTATCAATTTTAAATTATAGATTTTTTTAATTTCACCGAAGTACATCCTTAAAGCCCTTCTTAATTCATTAATAAATAGCAAGTATACTTCTTAATATTTCTGTTTTTGTTCTGAAATGTAATATGACTTGTATACTATAAGCCTAATAGAGACAAAAAATAATCAAAGTCATAATAAATCTTGTCATGTGTCTTATAACCAAAAACTAAATGTTTTAGTGATAGTTTTACTTCAAATATTTAATTCAAATACCAATACCAATTGGCTTTGCATATTATTCTCTAAACAATGTACAACATAATGTTCTATTGTTAATTTCTGATTTATCAATTACTTTGTCCATCCATCTGGTTTTATCCTTGCATACATCTACTTCTAATTGAGTTTTTTTTTTTGTTCAGAATAGAACACCATTCTTAGAGAATAGAAGATTTTAATAAAATGCTCCGCTGGGCGCAGCTTGATACGACCGCAGAGGTCGAACCCTGAACGGGGCAAGTATGGACACAACATTCAAGCTTGATACAGCACTGAATTTGGATTGTGATTAAATATTTGACACAGCATAGGTTTCTGACACAGAATGAACGTGGTCTAAGAACTAAAAATTTTGTAATTTATAAGGATCCATACACTTACACACAAGTTATTGTCCTGAAACTAGAGAAATGCTTGTTTTTTGGCCCGTAATTCCTAAAATTTTGTGGCAATCACCCCCAAAATCAATCCCAGCCTTCCCTTTGTGGTATGGTACCTTGCAGTACAATTTCAGAGAGATCCATACACTTGAACACAAGTTATTGTCTAGAAACTAGAAAAATGCTTGTTTTTAGGCCCCTTTTTGGCCCCTAATTCCTAATCATTTAGGGCAATTACCCCCAAACTCAAACTCAAACCCAGCTTTCCCTTTGTGATATGAAACCTTGTAGTACAATATCATAAGGATCCATACACTTACACACAAGTTATTGTCCTGAAACTAGAGAAATGCTTGTTTTTTGCCCCTTTTTGGCCCGTAATTCCTAAAATTTTGTGGCAATCACCCCCAAAATCAATCCCAGCCTTCCCTTTGTGGTATGGTACCTTGCAGTACAATTTCAGAGAGATCCATATACTTGAACACAAGTTATTATCATGAAACTAGAAAAATGCTTGTTTTTTGCCCCTTTTTTGGCCCCTACTTCCTAAAATTTTGAGGCAATTACCCCCAAAATCAATCTCAGCATTCCCTTTGTGATATGGAACCATGTGGTACAATGTCAGAGAGATCCATACACTAACACACAAGTTATGTCTTGAAGTTACAAAAATGCTTATTTTTGGCCCCTAATTCCTTAACTGTTACCATAACCCCCAAAATCAATCCCAACCTTCCTTTTGTGGTATTGAACCTTATGGTAAAATTTCATAGAGATCCATTCACTTAAACTAAAGTTAGAGTGCGAAAACCAATTTGTCTTCGGACGACGACGACGCCAACATCATACCAATATACGACCGCAAAATTTTTTTGCGGTCGTATAAAAACTTCATTTCTGAAATCCAATTCGATTTAATATTTAGCTTTTTAATATGAAACCCACTGACAACTTTTCTTCCTTGTCAATAATAATATTAATAAAAGTTTTTGAATAGTAAACATCTATTGCCAAACTTAATGAATCTATTACCCCAAATAATTTGTTTCCTTATGTCTGTAGTTTTATGGAGCTATTATTGCCCACCCCCTGTTCCAATCCAACATGAGATTACTTCTTTATAAAACTGTAATACGTTATCCAAAAATGGTAAAGACTTCTTTATAAATCTCTGGTACGTTGTCCAAAAATGGTAAAGACTTTTCGTTATCTAGATTCAAAACTACATGTACATGTTTGTACATCCATTCATCAAATAATGTCAAGGAACTACATTGTAAAATTCAAATGGGAAAATCCCATATTACACATACATTTACATGTATTGCATGTATATGTCAATTTCATTATGTGTATTATTTATTTATTAAATTATAAATATATCTTATAAGCATAACCTTGCATACAGTAGTATTAATGTTTAATTTTAGGAAATCATGAAATGGCATTGAAAGATAAGGATGAAGGAACAACAGTCCTAGATGACAAAGAGTGTTATGTGGCAGTTCTGCTTACAAATCATCTCTTGTCACCTTTGATACCAGCAGGACATGATTACATCATTGATAATAGATACCAAGATAAGCCTACCTATTGTCCTTGTTGGTCCAGATCTTGTCGCAAATTAATCAACTATGGAAGGACAAGTATAGGTAAAGTTACATGAAGCTTAATATGCATTATAGTAATTCACTGAATTGTTAGCTTTGAAAATTTTTATGAACTAATAGTATTAATTAGGTCTTTCCATTTCCAAATGATAAGACAAATTGCTATTCGTATGATTATTATTGATTTTGTTCTGATCATTTTTTTTTTCCACCACTTTTAGAAATAACCAGGGATACAGAGTTCGTGGCATATCGAAATTATATTTGGTATATGATGTCAAAAGTACAAAAGCTTGATTTTGACAACATGGTGACTAGACTCTTTTAGCTTATGGAATCCCTTCTCGCTAAAAATCTTGTTGCCACTACTCTTGTGATATATATAATTGTAAAAGATATTGAAATAAAAATGGTCCAAATTTTCTTGGGCACCTTTGTTACATTTTGGTTGAGGGGGTCTGATGACGCCTTATATATATATAGTAGTTATCTCCCCTAGGGCAATAATGTTTAAAAATTTTCGCTGAAACTACTTGGCCAATAGGGACCAAACTTTTATGGAATGGTCCTTGGCTGGTCCCCTTTCAGTTTCAGAAGTGTATCTAATGACCCAGCATCCAAAATTGCAGCCATCAGCAAAAAATCTTTTTTCTCTGAAACTGCTGGAGCAATTTGGACCAAACCTTTGTCTTAATAGTCCTTGTGTGTTCCCCTCTCAGATAAATGTGTAATATATCCCCTAATAAAATTGAGAATGGGAATGGAGAATGCGTCAAAGAGACAACAACCCAACCAAAGAGCATCAAAGAGCCCAAGGCCACCAATGGGTCTTTAACACAGCGAGAAAATCCTGCACCTGGAGGCGGGCTTCAGCTGGCCCCTAAACAAAAATGTGTACTAGTTCAGTGAAAATGGATGTCACGCTAAACTCTGAAACATATAAATGAACTAAAATTAAAAAAACATACAAGACTTACAAAGGCGAGAGGCTCCTGGCTTGGGACAGGCGCAAAAATGCAGCGGGGTTGAACATTTTTTGTGAGATCTCTACCCTCCCCCTATACCTCTAGCCAATGGAGAATAAACAAACACACAGCAATACCCACAGTAAAACGCAGTTTAAAAGAAGTCTGAGTCCTATGTCAGAATAAGTAACAGAAGAAACTAAGCAAAAATGACAATGATACATAAATTAACAAAGGACTACTAGCAGTTACTGACATGCCAGCTCCAGACCTAAATTAAACTGATTGAAAGATTATGTCTTCATCATATGAAATCAAACACAATCCCTCCAGTTAGGGGTTTAGTATCATACATCATAAAATATATAAGAAGAACATAACCCGTATCATGCCAACAACCGGTTTTAGAATAAAAGTGTTTATTTCTGATGCAAAGACCCTATGAGTGATTCAATATTAATTCCAAAATATGTCATCTTCAATGACCTGACAACAGTATCGTAACTTTATCCCTTCTGAATAAGTCTGAATACCAAAAAACGCTAACCGGTTAACTGGACCTTTTTTCAATTCCAATAGATTTGACATAAATATGTATTGACATCATTAATAAATGTTCAAAATGATAGTCATGCTAATCAATTTGACATATCAATTGTCCAGTATATTGATTAATATTATAAACCTTGAAAACACTCCAATTTTTCAAAATTAATTAACACAAAGACAACTTTTCTATCAGCTCGGGGCAAGGTCTAAAGTAAACATAATTAGCATACATGTATTTCGAACTGTTGTAAGCTGGTTAAATTTTACGATTTACTTCATTATTTCACTTTGATATAATATTGCGTAGACCTACATGTAATAATGCCACCTTCATCGTGTAAGAAGTTTGTCATATTTTAAACGAAATGCAGACTCAGAAATGGTAAAATGCAAATTATGTGAATGGAATTGATCTATAATACCGTGTGGTACGAGTAACAAGCTTAATCATCTTAAATTGAAACACTCCACAGAATTTTCTGAGACACCAGAGAAAATGAAACAATCACATGTTTCAGACTTTGTCAATTCGCCGATATCAAGAAGATTTTCATCTCCTAAATCTGACGTTATTACAAATGCCATAGTAGATATGGTAGTATCGGATTATTGAAAATGAAACTACCAGGGCTGCTCAAAGCCAAAACTTATACTGCCCAAGCATATACTTCAATTCATCTTACCATTAAACTGTATATTTGTAGAGAGTACTGACAATCTTTAAAACAGTAACTTAACTACCGGTTAATCGGATAATCTTAAAAGTGCTGAAGTTGGTAATTTTTATTGCCCGCCCACAAATGTGGATGGGGCATATATATAGAGTTACCCTTGTCGTCCTACGTCCATACGTATGTAATTTCGTCCAAACTATTTGGCTTAGTTTAAATTTGCATTCAGGTTCATTTCTTTGGAACTAAGCATAGTGTATCAATAAACCTTCATCAGCAATTGTGCCTTGAGAAGTACTGAGCAGTCATACAATAATTTGGTCATTACAAATTCCACATTTTTAACCCAAAAATTGAATTTTACACTTTAAATCGCAAATTTTAACCATAAGGAACCCCTTGAACAGCAATTACCAAAAATTGATCTAATTAACAGTTTTCCCATGCATTTTGGATGCAGTGTGATTACAATCTGATAAAAATTTGTAAGTTTTGATTTTTATTTCTATTAGACTAAACACAATTTTCAGAATTGAAAAAAAATCCAAGCAAAGTGACATATTGTTTGCATAAAGAGTAGTCAAATGTACAAGGAATGATTTACAATTCAAAAAAGGGGCCAAAAGGGGCTTATAATATGTAGTGTTGCATTTCTATTGGCACTCAGTATCATTTATATTTGAAATGGTTTGGTCGTATCATGCAGTTATTGCAAAGCACCTCAGTTTCTAGAAGGACCTTTCAAGGTCCACTTTTAATATAAAGAGTGGGGCACTTATATTTGCGGCCTACACATTTTTGCCATTTTGATGGGTTTTGTCTTGCCTGCAACGAAGAGACAAAGGGATTATTTTCTGGTGGTCTTATTTAAGGAAAGGGAAATGGATATCATGTACAGCATTTTATTTAGTTTTGTATCTGATCTAACAGAGAAAAAAACTGGTAAACAGTTACTGGGAGGAATCAGAACCAGTTCTAGAAACATAGTTTTAAAATACCAAAGGACCCAATCTTTTTCTCTGAAACCAGATAGCAAGTTTAAAGCAAACATGGCATGGATTGAACTTAATTGGTCCACTTTTAAAATTGTGTCCGGTGAACTTGATCTCCTTCTAAGATGGTCTCCATTTGTATAAAAAGTGGAAATTTGATCAAAATGAACAATTTTGCTTTGATTTAAGAGCTCATATTTGAAGATATATTCATTGCATTTTGTATAGACATTGTGACGAAGAAGGCTTAATTATGTCAGGTGAGCAGTACAGGCTCACATGAGCATCTAGTATTGACTTTAGTTTCTTTCTCCTCTGAACTGGAATGATCTCACATTTGGCTTATAGTTTTTTTATTTTAGTAAGTGATCAGATTGTGCATGATATAAATTTATTCCAGTTCGTTGGTTTTAATGGATTTGTGATGACCTATAAGTCATTGTTCAAATTTCATACATGATTTGGTATTTTTCAGGTAACTCTAGATTGTGGTATGGATATCCAGATGTTGTTTTACTTCCCAACACTGTTATGGTGGAGCAGGATTTTGAACAGGAAGAAGAAGAAAAAGAGGAAGTGTATAATTTAAAAAATGAGAAAAGAGAATCCGAAATATGTGAACTTGAAATAAATCAAAACCTTAATTATGAACGAATTGCAAGTCAAATTATATCTCAAACCATTACAGCTTCACTTTACACATCCGCCTTAAAAATTCGAAAACCAGAATTAGGAATTCCAGACATTTCTTTGATACCATCTTTAATATTGACTCCTTCAACTTACTGTATATATATGTATGACAACAAACATGATATTTTGTTAACTAGTGGTCCTAAACCTACATATTTGTGGGATGACTCAGGTTTAGGTTATCAGTTTAATAAATCAGCCATAATGCATATATGGATGGCTCTGAATCATCTCCAGTTGTTACCAAGCCTTGACCCTGCACACATTGAATTTATTCAACAAAGTTCAAATTTTCAAAATCTCTGTGAAATGAATGGTTTAGAACTCCCCAAAATAGCTGGTCATATACTATTTCAGTCAAAATTTGTTAGACCAGAGAAATTTGGCCACAAAAATCGCAATACAAAACGATTGGAATCTTCAAGGTACAATACTGCACATATAAACTCAACAAAAAAATATGGTTAAGGAACACTATAAACTGACAAAGCCTGAATAGACAAGTTTTTGTCTGTATTGTGTGTCATTTGGAAACAAACTCCTTTTTATACGACCGCAAAAATTAAAAATTTTTTGGTCGTATATTGGTATGACATTGGCGTCGTCGTCGTCGTCGTCGTCGTCGTCGTCGTCGTCCGGCGTTGTCGTCGTCGTCCGGCGTCGTCCGAAGACACATTGGTTTTCGCACTCTAACTTTAGTTTAAGTGAATGGATCTCCATGAAATTTCACCATAAGGTTCAATACCACAAAAGGAAGGTGGGGATTGATTTTGGGGGTTATGGTACCAACAGTTAAGGAATTAGGGGCCAAAAAGGGGCCAAAAATAAGCATTTTTGTAACTTTCAGACAATAACTTGTGTGTAAGTGTATGGATCTCTCTGACATTGTACCACAAGGTTCCATATCACAAAGGGAAGGCTGTAATTGATTTTGGGGGTAATTGCCTCAAAATTTTAGGAATAAGGGGCCAAAAAAGGGGCAAAAAACAAGCATTTTTCTAGTTTCATGACAATAACTTGTGTGTAAGTGTTTGGATATTTCTGAAATTGTACTACAAGGTTCCATATCACAAAGGGAAAGCTGGAATTGAGTTTGGGGGTAATTGCCCGAAACGTTTAGGAATTGGGGGCCAAAAAGGGGCCAAAAATAAGCATTTTTCTAGTTTCCAGACAATAACTTGTGTTCAAGTGTATGGATCTCTCTGAAATTGTACTGCAAGGTACCATACCACAAAGGGAAGGCTGGGATTGAGTTTGGGGGTGATGAATCATAAGGGGGTTCAAAAAATTTGGGGGGGGGGATTTTTTTTTTTTTTTTTTTCTTTTTTTCCTTTTTTTTTTCTTTTAAAATTTTCCATTTTAAGTTGGTTATTTCTGATTTATATTTAAAAGCAAATAATAATGATATGGTAGGAGATACACACCAAACAGGATGTGTAAATTATTCTATAATAAGTATTGTGCAATAGCAAGAAATTTTCAATTGCACAGTATTGCACAATAGCAAGAAATCTTCAATTGCACAGTATTGCGCAATAGCAAGAAATCTTCAATTTAACAGTATTGCGCAATAGCAAGAAATATCCAATAGCACAATATTGCGCAATAGCAAGAAATTGTCAATTGTACAGTATTGCGCAATAGCAAGAAATATTCAATTGCACAGTATTGTGCAAAAGAAGGTACTTCGTATAAATTGCTTATTTCTTGATCAATTTCAATGGGGTTTTATTCTTGAATTCTTGGGGTTCTTTAATATGCTGAATCTAACCGTGTATTAAGTTTTTGGATTTTGGGCCCCGTTTTTAAATTGGTCCACATTGAGGTCCAAAGGGTCCAAAATTAAACTTTGTTTGATTTCATCAAAAATTGAATTATTGGGGTTCTTTGATATGCCGAATCTAACCGTGTATTTAGATTTTTAATTTTGGGTCCCGTTTTTTTAAATTTGTCTACATTAATGTCCAAAGGGTCCAAAATTAAACTTAGTTTGATTTTAACAAAAATTGAATTCTTAGGGTTCTTTGATATGCTGAATCTAAACATGTGTTTAGATTTTTGATTATGGGCCCAGTTTTCAAGTTGGTCCAAGTTGGGGTCCAAAATTAAACTTTGTTTGATTTCAACAAAAATTGAATATATGGGGTTCTTTGATATGCTGAATCTAAACATGTATTTAGATTTTAGATTTTTGGCCCAGTTTTCAAGTTGGTCCAAATTGGGGTCCAAAATTAAACTTTGTTTGATTTCAACAAAAATTGAATATATGGGGTTCTTTGATATGCTGAATCTTACCATGTATTTAGATTTTTTATTTGTGGGCCCGCTATCAAATTGGTTCATATTGAGGTCAAAAGGGTCCAAAGTTAAACTTTGTTTGATTTCATCAAAAATTGAATTATTGGGGTTCTTTGATATGCCAAATCTAACCGTGTATTTAGATTTTTAATTTTGGGTCCTGTTTTTTAAATTGCTCTACATTAAGGTCCAAAGGGTCCAAAATTAAACTTAGTTTGATTTTAACAAAAATTGAATTTTTGGGGTTCTTTGATATGCTGAATCTAAACATGTGTTTAGATTTTTGATTATGGGACCAGTTTTCAAGTTGGTCCAAGTTGGGGTCCAAAATTAAACTTTGTTTGATTTCAACAAAAATTGAATATATGGGGTTCTTTGATATGCTGAATCTAAACATGTATTTAGATTTTAGATTTTTGGCCCAGTTTTCAAGATGGTCCAAATTGGGGTCCAAAATTAAACTTTGTTTGATTTCAACAAAAATTGAATTCTTGGGGTTCTTTGATATGCTGAATCTTACCATGTATTTAGATTTTTTATTTGTGGGCCCGCTATCAGATTGGTTCATATTGAGGTCAAAAGGGTCCAAAATTAAACTTTGTCTGATTTCATCAAAAATTGAATTATTGGGGTTCTTTGATATGCCAAATCTAACTGTGTTTTTAGATTTTTAATTTAGGGTCCCATTTTTTAAATTTGTCTACATTAAGGTCAAAAGGGTCCAAAATTAAACTAAGTTTGATTTTAACAAAAATTGAATTCTTCGGGTACTTTGATATGCTGAATCTAAACATGTGTTTAGATTTTTGATTATGGGACCAGTTTTCAAGTTTGTCCAAGTTGGGGTCCAAAATTAAACTTTGTTTGATTTCAACAAAAATTGAATATATGGGGTTCTTTGATATGCTGAATCTAACCGTGTATTTTGATTTTGGACATTGGACCATAATAGGTAAATTAAAAAAATTGAAGTTCTTAGACCACATTCTTTCTGTGTCAGAAACCTATGCTGTGTCAAATATTTAATCACAATCCAAATTCAGAGCTGTATCAAGCTTGAATGTTGTGTCCATACTTGCCCCAACTGTTCAGGGTTCGACCTCTGCGGTCGTATCAAGCTGCGCCCAGCGAAGCATTTTATTTCCCTTGTGGTTCTTCTCATACAGTTATTGAAGATTAGAACTTTTTAATCTTTTGACTAACATGTAGGCTTATGATATTTCACATGTGGGTGTATCATTATGTTGCATACAATTATGACCTTGATATTTGACCATGAGGTCAATTTATGGTTTGGATTTACAAATTTTGTTAGTTCAGCAAGACTTTTTTTTGCTCTTTGGCTTAGGCTCATATATTTTGCAACAGAAAAGCTTTTATATTTGCCGTGTGGAAATATTATTATTAGATGGAATTGTAATGCACAGACATGTTCTCTGTGTGACCTAGACCTTTGACCTCAATGTCAATTTTTTTGTTTTCTGTATACTTTCTTGTCTGGGTTAAATCTTTTTATACCACCACAATATAGTTATGATGCTGTTGTTGTTGTTCCTGATAACTTTTGGGGAATTTGATATTTAAGCACATTGATCATTGGTTCTAAACATAGGTTGAGATTGATTTAGGAGTTGAGGTCCCTGGCATTTTAGGGGACAGGGCAAATAGGCTTTTTCTCATATATTAATAACATTCTAAAATTCTTATCACATTTTGATGAAGTGTTTTTCTTCTTATTCCTTACAACACGTGAAATGGGCCCACATGCACCATGACCGATCTTTTACCCTTTTTGATAGATCAACTGTTAAAAAAATACCATGCCCTAAAATTTTTGCAATTTTTTAATTTTGCATCTATTGATGAAAAAATAGTATTTTCTCATCTTTCTATTTTTTTTTTATGGTAAACTGGACTAACTTTTTGTTACTTAACAATTGGATAACACTATGCTAAAGGTTTAATTGACAGTTTTACTTACAACAGAAAGATCTTGGGCAGGGTTGACAAAAAAGTGGTCAAACACTTGTAATTACCGGGAAATACTGTGAAGTAGGTTCATTACCAATAAATGAAAAAGAAAAACTAGAATGTTAATACAAATATCAGGTACATTTGTAAAAAGATGTAACCATAAGTTAAATTTCCATTTAAAAGTCTCACAAATAAATTCCATTTCTGCATCATATTTTATTTTTATAGTAGAAATCTAGACCCATCATTAGCAGCTGTTTGCACTTAAAAAAATCAGTTTAGACTTCCTATCGTAACCTTAAGGTAAACAAATTGAAATTATGAGAGACCAAGGGGATGTTACATGAGACTTCCATCACATTTCACCTAATATACTAAAATATACATGAGGAATAATTGGAGAAAATGTTGATAGTTATTCTGAGAATTGATTTTAATGCGGAAGAAAATTTGCAACACATAGTACAAAATGATTATTAAAGCAGGAATGAAATAACAGATTGAAAAAATTTGAGATGGATTTATATACATGCTTTAAACAAGGTTATTATTTCTTATACTTTTTATGAATACTTGTTCATATTGTAATATTTTAGGAAAGATTACAGTATGTTTCATCTATTGCATTAACTGAATTTTTGAGACAATCAAGTACCAAATTCTGGTTGTTGCACAATTATTCTTTTATGTGTTTCTTTTGTACATGGCTTTATGAATTTTCAAGTTGTTTTATAATTTCACAATATATCTAACTGTTTTATGTAATTATTTGATGGGCTGTAAACTCTATCATTTCTTTGAAGTTGTATACATTTTTGTTTTTACGTTTTCACAAATTTCAACAATAAATTATAAGAAAAGTTGGTGTGCTGTTTTAATAAATTTGGCATCATAATTTAATATCTGAGATCAGAACTCTAAGACCTTAAAGTTAGTATTAGTTACAAAGATTAAAAAATATCACCGAAGCCGCTGAACTAAGGGTCATATGACATCCACCTTGTGTTGCATGGTCAGCTCTGCACACCTTTGAGATGGCTGTGTACACACATACATATGCAGCCATGAACACAAAGGAGTACTCAAATGTTGGCATTCTCATATTCATATGCCTCAAATTTGTAGTGGCCTACTAAATTGCAATTATTTACAGTCAAAGACACATCAATTTTTCACTATATGTACAAGTTTTTATAGTAATACAATGAACAAGAACCTTATTGAAATATCTTAGTGTGCTCAAATTTTAAAATAAGATTCGGATGATATATGCCAATATGATATAAACACCTATTAAAATCAAATGCTGCTGAACAGTATTGTACTTTACAAGGAGACAAGTTGTGAAAGCTAAAGATTTCTTGGAAATGGACCTTTCAACATAAACTTAACCAAGTCACTGAAGCATGATATGTAGGTTATAGTTACTCAATTGATGCTGAACAGCACTGTACAATGTATATGGTAATGTTTAATATTAAATTATCATATTTCTCTACATTTGCATTGTTCTGCTCAAAATTCATTAGGTTTTGTTACATCCAAAAGTTTGACCGAAAAAATCTTATATTTAACCAGAAATTTCTAATGATGTCTTATTGTTTGAAAAGACTTCAGCACTTTTGATACAATGTAATCATGGTTACGTTTCAAAACACTCAAATATTATCTTAAAAAAGACATGATGATATGTTTCTAAGATACAGATACCTTGAATTCAAAAATATGAGATAAAGATGCTCACAGTAAATCAAATGCTGCTGAACATCATTGTACTTTACTAGGAGACAAGTTGTGAAAGCTATACATTACTAGTACTAGGAAATTGACCTTACAACAGAAATTGAACAAAGTCACTTTAGCATGATATTTAGGCTACATTTACCCAAAAGTTGCTGGACTAAGTAAAAGTATTAAAGAGATGAAATAATCATTGTGGAATGACTTTTATTGCAGTAGGTGCCAGACAAATGGACTATGTTTCAAACTTAATAAAAGCCATTCCACAATGAAATATAGAGGATAATGACATAGTTGCTAAACAGTGAAAATGAAAGTCATGAGCCTTGTCAGTAGTTGTCTGATATATGTTGAATGAGAGACATAGGGATAACAATCTGGCAACGGCATAAACTATTTGTACAAAGCTTTATATTTAAGAGGGTATAAGACCTGGATGCATCATACATTGGGTACATATCCCTTATGTTACTAAGTTTCTGGTTGTCATATGTCATTGCCCTTGACCTCTTTATCATGGTTCAGCAACTGCTTAAAAAAAGTGCAGAGTATTTTTGTCTAATGAATTAATAAGAAATAATACGATAACTATATTTGGTATATGGATTCCTTCCAAGGTCTACATGTTTCTCAGATACTATTACCAGTAGGTCAACTAAATGTGGTGTGTGTTTTGATTGTAAGGTCTACATGTCAGTCTGGCAGGTTTCATCTCACCTTGATCTCATTTTCATGGTTTATTAGTCAGTGTTAAGTTTCCATAGTTAGCTCATCTTCTCGCATACTATAACCAATATATTTGGTGTATGGAATGATTTTAAAGTAATCTAATCTTGACCTTATTTTCATGGTTCATTGGTCATTGTTAAGTTATCCTGATTCAGTCTGTTTCTTAGATACTATAAGCAATAGGTCAACTACATTTGGTGTATGTAATGATTGCAAGGTGTACATGATTGTTTGGCAGGGTTTATCTTGACTTTACTTTATTGTCATGGAGTTTTCATGGTTTGGTCTGTTTCTTGGATACTACAAGTAAAAGGTCAACTATATTGGTGTATGAAATCATTGTAAGGTGTACATGTACATGTCTGTATAGCAGGGTTTATCTTTACCTTGACCTTATTTTCAAGGATCATTGATAATGTTAAAGTTTGAGTTACTAGTAGCTAACCTTTATCTACATAAAATTAATCATGGTTAGTAAATCAGGTGAGAATTTCAGCATGTGCAAAGATGTTGGTAGTTACTGGTTAGTAGCAATGGCAGATCTTTATTAAAATAAGGAGATGAGGTATGATTGCCAATGAGACAACTACCCACCAAAGTTCAAATTAAGAGGATGTAAGCATATTTAGGCAACTGTACGGCCTTCAACAATGAGAAAAACCCATATCGTATAGTTGGCTTTAAAAGGCCCTGACATCAAAAATAGGAAACAATTCAATTGAGAAAACTAACGGCCTAATTTATAACAAAACAATTAATGAAAAACAAATATGACAGACATGAACCAACGACAGCCACTGAACTACAGGCTCCTGACTTGGGACAGGCACATAAAGAATGTGGTGGGGTTAAACATGTTTGTGAGCACTCAACCCTCCCATAACCTGGGATAGTGGTGTAACAGCACAACATAAGAACAAACTATAACAAGAGTGCACACGTTGAAATGTCTCTCCTGCTTTACTGACCATTGATTTTATGTTGAAAGTCTTAAAGATAAAGGTTTTACTTAAAGCATTACAGAAACTTAACACTTTTTAAAGGTCTATGACAATGAGGTCAAGGTCAGATAAATCGTGTCAGACAGATATATACACCTTACAATTATTCGATATACCAAATAAAGTTGACCTATTGCTTATAGTACTTGAAAAACAGACACAAATACAAAAACTTAACATTGACCAATGAACCATGAAAATGAGGTCAAGTTCAGATGATACCTGCCAGACAGACTTATACACCTTACAATCATTCCATACACCATATGTAGTTGACCTACTGCTTATAGTACTTGAAAAACAGACCAAAACACAAAAACTTAACATTGACCAATAAACCATGAAAATGAGGTCAAGGTTAGATGAAACCTACCAGACTGACATGTACCCATTACAATCATTCCACACACCAAATATAGTTGACCTACTGCTTATAGTATTTGAGAAACATACCTAATCACGTAACTTGAACCTTGATCACTGATCTATGAAATGAGGTTGAGGTCAGGTGAACTCTGTATGACTAACATGTAGACGTTGCAAGGAACCCGTGTACCAAATATAGTTATCCTATTACTCGATATAAGTGAGATATTCACATGACAAAAAAAAAATTCAATTTTTTTTCAAGCAGTCGCTGAACCATGAAAATGGACAATGGACATATGACGGAAACTTTGTAACATAAGGTATCTGCATACAAGATATGAAGCATCCAGGTCTTCTACCTTCTGAAATATAAAGCTTTATACAAATAATTTACGCCGCCGCTGCCGGATAGTAATACCTATGTCTCGCATACTGCGACTCATCGCAGGCGAGACAAAAATCCGGACGTGGTTGTTTCTGATAAATTTATTCACAACTTTTTAAACCATGATGATGATTTAGAGTTTGACATCTGTCAAGTGTTGAAGACTTTTTGTTGCCATCTAGATGTCTATTTGTTATATTTTTTTTGGGGGTTGCTGATTTAGAGTTTGGCATATGTCAAATGTTGAAGACTATTTGTTGATATCTAGATGTCTTTTTGTTATGTTTTTTGGTTGCTGTCTCATTGACGTATACCCTACATCTTCTTCTATTCAAATGTAAAAAATGTAATAGACTATTGAGACTATCTATAACATCAAATTCCAAATCTAAAAAAAAGTATAAAGACACTTTTAGCCTCATCTGTAAAATAAAAAGACGGTAGCCAAGCAGAATCAAAACATTTTAATTCCATTATTGATACCATAATTCCAAATTTAAACAGATAATATACTCACAAATAAACATATTATTGTAAAAAAATAAATATATTAGATTGTATCACAACAGAATATCAACAAGAGGCTCATGAGACCCTGATATCGCTCACCTGTAATTTCAGTTTCAGGCATTTGACTTATAAGTAGATCACACTTTCCTGAACAATTTTGTCATTTAAACTTTCTCTCTTTCTATAATAATATTAAAGATAATACATAATCCAAAACTGTAAAATTTCCTACAATTAACTACTTCTGGACAGTAACCCAACAATAAGTTATCCTATTTGTCTGAAGATTACTTGACAGGTAGATCTAAACCTGTTTAACACTTTCACCTTTGTCAGTTTTGCTCTTACTGCTTAAGTTTTTGAGATGAAAGCCAAAAACTTCATTTGACACGTATGTTCTATTTTTAGAAACTGCCGCCATGTTTTTGAATGGATCAAATCCCCAAATACAATCTATAAACTAGACACCCTAAGGAACATTCAATTAAAGTTTGGAAGTATATGGCCCAGTAGTTTCAGAGAAGAAGATTTTTGAAAAAGTAATAGACTTGCACAAAAAAATGTAAAAAATAAATGTTTCAAGGGCAATAACTCATTAAGGAGTCCACTGACTATTTTGATCATTTGACATATTTGTAGATCCTACTTAGTTGAACATTTTTGCAATTTACACTTTCTCTCTATCTATTATAATATTAAAGATAATAACCAAAAACAGTAAAATTTCTTAAAAATAAACTATTTCGGACTGTAACCCTACATTGGGTGGTCCAATTGGTCTGAAAATTTCATAGCAGATAGATCTTGACTTATTCATCACTTTAACTCCGTCACTTTTACTCTAACTGCTATAGTTTTTGAGATAAAAGCCAAAAACTGCATTTGACCCCTATGTTCTATTTTTAGCAATGGCGGCCATGTTTGTTAATGGATCAAAACTTCGGATACATTTTATAAACCCGTTACCCTAAGGAATATTCAGTTAAAGTTTAGATGTAATAGGCCCAGTAGTTTCAGAGGAGAAGATTTTTAAATGTTTGCAAACATGATGAACAAATTGTGGGAAAATTGTCTTTAAAGGGCAATAACTCCTTAAGTGGTCAATTGACAATTTTTGTCATATTAACTTTTTTGTAGATCTTACTTTGCTGAACTTTTTTGCTGCTTATCTTTATCTTCAAAAATATTCAAGATAATAACCAAAAACTGCAAAATTTCCTTAAAATTACCAATTTAGTGGCAGCAACCCAACAATAGGTTGTTCGGTTCATCTGAAAATTTCAGGGCTGATAGATCTTGACCTATTGAACATTTTTACCCCGTCAGATTTGCTCTAAATACTTCAGTTTTTGAGATATAAGCCAAAATCGCATTTGACCCCTATGTTCTATTTTTAGCCATGGCGGCCATGTTTGTTGATGGATCAAAACTTTGGATTCAATTTATAAACTAGATACCTAAGGAACATTCAGTTAAAGTTTGAAAGTATTTGGCCCAGTAGTTTCAGAGGAGAAGATTCTTGAAATAGTTTACGACGACGATAGACAACGATGACGACAGATGCCAAGTGATGGCATAAGCTCACATGGCGCCCTTTGGGCCTGGTGAGCTAAAAACAATACTCTCCATAACAAGTTATTTTATAACAAAATTCTAACAATAACCCTTTCCAGAAAGATGTTTCTAAAAACCTGAATTTGATACTAAAAATTTTTAATTTTCAACAAGTTGAATGTTTATATTTATTTTCATATTTCACACTTGTACAAATGTGACATTGGAAAGGAGGAGTTACTGTCATTTGTTTGTCAGTCAGAAAAAATATTGTAAATCAGGATTCATACATAATTATTAATAATCAATTTGAAATTACTGGTTTATATTTACTGCCTAAACTTGGGTAACAAAATTGGTTAATTAAAATCATTTTAAAAATTTTAATCTGTTGCATATTATTGCACAAATTGTTTATAATGTTTATACTAAAACAGGTATGTAATTACATGTAGACTCTTCTCTGTTTATGAAAGAGTAGCTAGTCATTTTCTTATCTACACCATTTCATATCTTGCCATTTCATTCCATTGCCATTTCAGAGTTACCATTTCGTACTCAAAATAACCATTTTATACCGTGCCCATTACATACCCAAAATTACTGTTTCATAACCAACATTTTCAATTTCGTACCAATGATCAAAACCATTTCGTACCCTATGGACCATGTCATACCTTATTGACTATTTATTTCTATTCCGTTATATTTGGAATTTCCCTATTCTATTTCTATCTTTAGACTTGTGGTACAAGTTTGGCTAGTATGTAAATCAGAAGTGGTCTGATGTTACTGTTGTTTTCTGCACGAATATTTCGAGGGCGGTAGTACAGGTGGGGTTTTATAGGCATATATAAGTCCTGATTACGTTTGATTATTATCGATGTGCTCCAGTAACTTTGATAGACGAAGTTAACGTTAAGCTCTGCATAATATGTCCGAGGAAGGCTCCGACCATGATGAACGCCGTGCTACTACTCAACATGCTGAAAATAGTAACGAAACAGAGTTAAGTACGGACGGGGTTATTTCGCTTTTCACTTCAGCTTTAAACAATGCTTTAGAGAAGCAAAAACATTCCTTGATTAATCATTTCGAAGCTCGTTTAGGAAAAAGTGTTAAAGCAACCGGTGTCGACCAACCAGAATTTGTATTCCAAAGTGAGGGAATTAAAGTGCAACATTCGTTTAATACCGAGCGTCTGGAGAGGCTTGCTGCCGTTGAAAGTTGTATAAAGCTTGGAAACGCTTCCGAAGTTAGTGAAATTATTACTCAGGAAATGGAAATCATCCGTAAGCGTAACAAAATTCTAAAGATAGCCGACAAGCATGGATGGGACACGGTTAAAGAGTACTTGGATAGTCCGTTGGCCGACAATAAAGAAGATGCTAGTGATTTGCGTGCTGCTATTTCCAGGGCTTCTCGTAAAAGAAGTTTCAAGCCGTACAGTAAACCAGAATCTTCCAATAGTGGTTCCGGAAAAGGAGAATTCAATTCCAGGAGTTTTTTTCGTGGCCTTGGCCAAGTCAGTGATACCGAGTTCTCCAAAGCAGGCAAGTCAGAAAGTTACAAGTGTTTCTATTGTAACCAGCCCGGGCACTTTGCAAGGAACTGCCCCGAAAAAAGGATTCCTACAGCGACAGTTGGTGCACCAAAGTTCCAGGAACAGAACACAGGAAAGACCCAGTAACAAAACAGATACAGACATAGATGAAGTTGAGTATTGTTTTCAATTTGTTAACAAGTATGAGAAAAAATCTTGTCAAAATCTTATAAATGTGAAAGGAAATTTAAGAAAACATGCATTGTTTTGGAAAAATGTACTTAACGCTAATGATTTTATAATGAATGTTATTAATTTTGGTTATAGAATTCCTTTTCTGAGTGAACCACCGACTATTTTTCTAAGTAATAATAGATCCGCGTTAAAACACTCAGAATTTGTGGAAAATTCTATTGAAGAACTTTTAACTAAAGAATGTATAAAAGAAGTAAATCGACCATTTGTCGTTAATCCACTTACTGTGTCGGTAAATAGTACGGGTAAAGAAAAATACTTCCTGGGTTGATGCTTTCGCATATGATTGGTCTGCTCATAATAACTGGTTAGTTCCACCAGTTTGTTTAGTTAGCAAGTGTTTAAATCACATGCGGTTATGTAAAGCTAAAGGCACTTTAGTTGTACCTAAATGGCCATCAGCGTTATTTTGGCCTATTTTAGTGAATAGGTTTTCAGACAGATTTAAATCTTTCGTTATAGACTTTAGAGAGTACGTAAAACCTATGAACTTTTTTACAAAAGGTTCACAAGAAAAGAGTATATTTGCACAGAGACCTTTTAACAGTAATGTATATGTTTTGTTGTTGGATTTCTCGAAGTATTGAGATTTATGCATTGAATGTTGTATACAGACTGTAGTTGATTTAGTTTTCTGCGATGGTTATTTGCCGCAGTTATCAGATATGAGACTATATTCGTAAGAATGTTAAATTTAACATTGTGATGTTTTAACTGCAACAATTAGATATGTCATTGTTAACATTGTTGATTAATTGTTTATGAATACAGTGAGGGTTAATGCCACTGTATATATATAAGTATATGACTTTTTTAGATACTGTGAGGTTGAATGCCACAGTAAGTGTGCGAGGAAAATGCCGCACTCATTTGTTTGCGAGGGAAATGCCGCATTCATTTGTTTGCGAGGGAAATGCCGCATTCATTTGTTTGCGAGGGAAATGCCGCACTGGGTTGTTTGCGAGGGAAATGCCGCATTCATTTATAGTAGTAATGTTAATTATATTTACTTTGTTTATAGTTATTACTTGGTATTCATTATTATATTTATTTTACAGATCAATGGAAACAATTTGAGTGTTATGCCAATGATTCGAGATTTGCCAGTATCATACGAGATTTACCCTCTTTTGTCGAATCGTCTAGATCAAATTCTACAATTAAGCAATACAAGTGCTATTTTAAAAAGTTTGAAAAATGGTGTGTTTCATGTTCACTTGAGTGTTTACCAGCGACAACTACTACGATTTCTATGTATATAGGTGGGCTCATTCAACAGGGATCCAGTGTTGCGATTTTAGATGCAAGTTTTTATTCAATAAAATGGTTTCATGACTTTAATTTCAAACATAATCCTTGTTCAGACAAATTCCTTGGTCTTATTTATGAAGGAGGAAGGAGATTGCTAAGTAAACCTATAAACAAAAAAGAACCTATTACGCCAGATATATTAAGGAAAATTGTTTTGAAGTTCGGAGATCATAATAATCTCAAAAAATTGCGTGTAGTAGTATTATTTCTGTTAGGATTTTCTGGATTTTTGAGGTATAGTGAATTGGCTAACATTAAGATGAATAATATTGAGTTTCAAGTCAGTCATGTTAAAATTCGCATTGATAAAAGCAAAACTGATTTATACAGAAGGGGTAATTCTGTTGTTATAGCTGCAACAGGTACAGATTTATGTCCAGTTTTTTGGTTAAATAAGTATATCAATTTAGCTGAATTGAGCAAAAATTCTGATAGCTATATTTTCAGAGCACTGTCTTTTATGAAATCGAAGGATGTTTATAAATTATGTAATATAAATAGTCCATTGTCCTATACCAGAGCGAGAGAAGTTTTGTTAGAGAGTTTATCAGATATTGGTTTAGATAAGCTTAAGTTTGGGCTTCATAGTTTGAGAAGTGGTGGCGCTTCTACGGGGGCTAATAGAGGAGTCTCTTATAGGTTACTTAAAGTCCACGGTAGATGGGCTTCTGATAAAGCCAAAGATGGGTATATTAAAGACAATTTAAAATCTCAAATGGCTGTTTCCTTGAATCTTGGCATATAGTTCTCAAATTATTTATTCCTTTGTTTTATCGAAGTTACTGCGAGCAAACAAACCTAAATTATGACTTGTCTCTTATTTAGCCATGTATTTAGAATAGAAATGTTTTAAATTCGGACGAATTCATGAGGGAGAATTTAAATTTATTTCTATCCCGTTATATTTGGAATTTCCCTATTCTATTTCTATCTTTAGACTTGTGGTACAAGTTTGGCTAGTATGTAAATCAGAAGTGGTCTGATGTTACTGTTGTTTTCTGCACGAATATTTCGAGGGCGGTAGTACGGGTGGGGTTTTATAGGCATATATAAGTCCTGATTACGTTTGATTATTATCGATGTGCTCCAGTAACTTTGATAGACGAAGTTAACGTTAAGCTCTGCATAATATATTACAGTTATGTTTGTATTGATATGTATTTAGAGGACATTGTGAATGTATATAGATGGAATTGTGGTATATTTTTGTAATTTGTAAAATGTTTACAAGATATTAAATGTTGTTTCGCTGAGAAAATAAGAAAGTTACTGCGAGCAAACAAACCTAAATTATGACTTGTCTCTCTTATTTAGCCATGTATTTAGAATAGAAATGTTTTAAATTCGGACGAATTCATGAGGGAGAATTTAAAAATACATCATATAATTTAGATCAATTTCAATTTTGAATCATATATTTGTAAATCGTTTTCTATTTTGAATCATATATTTGTAAATCATTTTTTATTTTGAATCATATATTTGTAAATCATTGAAAATTTGTACCAACATCAGTATTGGAGATTTTGTAAAACACACACAGTAAAATTAAAAAACAGGAAAGATCCTTTATACTGCCTCATTGTTAGTTTAAAAAAATGTTTTATATTAATGTATATCCATTATTGGTTCATTCAACAAGGTCAAAAATATTATTAAATTTTATGAGATAACAAGATTTAATAATTTCAGATTATTTAAATTTTTTATTTAAACATTATAACAAAGGGCCATAGGACATTTGAGCGAAAAATAAAAAAAATGCACATAGGGTCATTTGAGCGCCAACATCGAAAATAATAAATGCACATAGGGTCATTTGAGCGCCAACATCATAGGACATTTTAGCGCCGGAATATTAATCTTACCTGGATTTTCAAATAGGAAGTTTGAGCGATATTTCCTGTGATACTTTTATATGAATTAAAAAAGTATTTCTAAAAAGTAAGAAAAAAGAAAAGTTTTTAAAATAAATATATTTTAATTGATTTTCAACCCCAGTAATTTGGCCGGTTTTAGCTAGTTAATGGTAGTGTAGTCTTGAATTGATCTCTACTTAGCAATCAATTTTACTATAATTCATTGGCTATGCAAATTTTCTTTGTTCTAAATTTCTTTTATTTATAAAGTGAAATGTCCCTTGGCACTAAAGATCTTAATACTAATACATGTACATGATAAAATGGATATAATTTTGAACGAGACTAAGAAAGGAAATTTAGCATTCTTGATACTGTCTGCAGAGGAATTTTTATGTCAGAAGGCTAGGATATAAATGTCAAGCCATAACTGACTTGTAAAATATGCCATTGCCAAGTTTTAAGTTTTATGACAGTGCTTTGTTTTTTTACAATTAAAAGATGTTTTAAACTTTGTGCATTATAATTCCACATTTTATTTACTATATCCTGCTCGAAACCCTACTTCCACCTCACCGAGGTGAACAGGGGTTACAGATTATATCTGACAAACAGAAGAAGTATTCCTTCATCATTCTTAAGTTTTTTTGCTCAAATGTCCTATGCTTATTTTTTATTTTCACTCAAATGTCCTTAAATTTTGGCGCTCAAATGTTCTAAACTTTGGTGCTCCTTTTTTTATCACTCAAATGTCCTGCCATTTTGCTCAAATTTCCATTGCCGATAACATAGAAAGCAATAAAATGCTTCCTGCAATAGAAATTTTCTATAGACCTATGATTGGTTTAATTAAGTAGTACAAAGAAACTTTAATAGTTTTAATTATGCTTTGTTTGTGTACAGGGTTTATCCTTAATTAATTTTTCAACTATAAAAATATGAAGTTAATTTACCAACAAAGGAATAATTATCTGCAACTGTTTGTATAGTCATTACAAAGTTGTTTTTGCTAGGAGATATAGTGAAAAGGGACACATGCTGATATTTACTCGGAAGGAAGCCATGAATATATATGTTTGCATAAAAATTTGCACCTTACGTGACCAATTAAAGAATTGTTTTGGCTTTTTCAATTTGAGAAATAACTAATAACAAGTATGTAGAAAAAAATTAAGAAATGTCCATTTTTATCTACAATTTCATGCAAATTGGATACCAAAATAGTACAAAAAGGCATACAAATAAATATTCCACGAGGTACAAAATGGCATACATATTAATATTCAATGAGGTACAAAATGGCATACATATAAATATTCCATGAGGTATAAAATTGTCAGGATACAAAATGGTAAGGGTACGGAATGACTATAATTCTATGAAACAAACAATCATATATATCACTGCTCTATACAAATCTTTGCTTAAACCTCACATTACATTTTTCTCCTTCCTGGCAATTCACTTGATTATTAAAACTGTTTTTCTTACAAAGATTAACTAGTATACAATGACTTCCTCTTAAAAATTAAGTATATTTAACTATAAGACGAAGGATATTTAACATAGCAGAGGAATAATCTATAGATCCACCAGTTCAGGGTATGATGACCAGTTGACCTATGTCAATGACAAATATGACCCAACAGCATAAATGGCAGAAACTGCCTTTAATAAATTAAACAGGCTATGCTATCTCTAGTGAAATAGCTTTTTTTGATGCTAAACATTGGATATTTAAATATATGATTATACATAATCGTTCATTTTGAAACAGTTCGCATTTAAAAATCAATACAAAAATAGACAAAATATATAATAATTAAAATATATCTAATTGATCATTACACCTCTACATTTTGATTAAATATGCCCACAAATGTGGAAAGTTGTTTGCATTTATAATTTTTCAAAATTCAGTAAATAACCCCCTTTATCAATCCTTTTGTGGAACACTTGGGTAGCTGAGATATTCAGTACACTACTCCTTTAAGTTTTCATACATTTTGTATTACAAAAAAAAAAATACCCTATCATTTATTTTTGACAAAAATACACCTAAAGCTACCATGTTTATGCTATGTAATGGAGAAATAAATAGATTTGACAAATATCTAATGCATTTATGACTGTGGTTTTAAACACATCTGTGAAAAATATCAAAATCTGATTGGTTTTAGAAATTTATGATTCAATCAGCAGCCTCATCATATATTTCTCTCGACCTTATCATATATTATCAAGCTTGAAATGGTTACCTATTCCAGTGGCTCATCCATACCACTCATTACGTAGTAATTGCTCCCCCCGAGTTCATGACAAACAAACCTGTATACTGGGTGTAAATTATTTTCTATCAAATAAAAATTGTAAATTTGAGTTTGCCATTTTTACATGAACATTGGACCTATTCACATTTATTCCATATTTCTTAACAGCTGGGTTGGTATTAGCTTTCATCATCTTACACATTATAGCATACTTCTTGTAGAACTGCAGATCTATAATATCTCTGTATTTTGTGTGTATTGACTTAGCAATAGCATAAGCATCCCCTATAAAAAAAATTTAAAGATTAATTTTAAAAGTATTATTCAAGAATATCTGTATTTCAAAATTAGCAATTAAAAATTCTTCAACATTTCAGTTAAAACTAAAAAGTTAACACTGTGTGTAAAATGTCTGTGAGTCCTAAACTGTCCCTGGGCCAATGGTGTTCCAGCACACTATTATAATGGTAAAAGTATTGGGGACGGGTTGGAGTCATGAGATAAGTACTAAGTCAAAAAACAAAGCTACTAATAAAATGACATAAGATACAAATTACCAGTTTTACAATATGAAGAGTTAAGCACAATTTTAATGCATTACCAGTGAAATATCCTTTTATAGCAAAATCAGTCTTAGTTGACTGTGTGAAATGATCAAATACATATAAACAAAGAAATACTAAACATCACTAGTAAAGCAAAGATTTATAGTATATCAGTTTATCCAGAACATGTGTTCACAAATGAAAAATTCTCTACTAGGTTCTAGGAGAGAATTTTTCTATCTAAACATAATAAAGAATTTTTCAATCTAAAGATAACGAAGAACTTTTCTAACTAAAGATAATAAAGAATTTTTCACTTTGACTTATCATGTAAGAAAAGATAATAACTAATGTATGTAATATAGAAGTTTTTTTTATTCTATAAACAATGTTAAACGGGCTTATGTAAAATGGAAATACTGTCAACGTCAATATGCAATCATATCTGCAATTGGAACTGAAGTCACATCTAGCAATATAACAATATTAAATACTTTTAAAACAAACTTTAACTATTGTTGATGACACTAATTATGGATGCTGGAAACAGTGTGCCAAAGTCTTACTTTCGGCATAAAAATTAAAAAAAAACATATGGGAGACTAAACCAGTGGGTACAGTCATCCATGAAGTGCAAAAGTGCAAAAGTAAAACATTTTTGTCTTTTTATTTTCACTTCAAAATTTGTGGTATTGTTTTTATTACTAAGAAATTAACATGTTAGCATACATTTTATGCATTTATTTTTTCGCTTCAAATATATGGTACGAATTTAAATAAGGCTGCACATTGCCTTTTCTGAATTTTTAACATTAGGTTTACCGAGGACCATTAATATCTTCGATCATTGACCTGAAATAGTGTAGATAAACTCTTTCAAGTCTCTGGTCTTTTTGTTGATAGTTATCTCAATAGCAATCATACCACGTCTTATTTGATGTATAACACTGTAGTTCCTCACTTGAATAAAACATACCTATAGGTTCTGTTGGATAGATATCAAGCTGGTTAGAGAATGGAAGTTCTACTTTCTCATAAACAAACTGGATAAATAATCCATCATCAAATTTTGTGTGCTAAAATTAATCAGAAAACTAAACTGCACAAATTTATCAATCAATATGTTTTTTTTATCCTAAATTATTTTAAACTAGTCAATACAATGTGTAAATGTTATAAACTTATTTGGTTGAAAATATCTCAAGTTGGTTAAGGCCATCGATATATCAATGAAAGTCTTGTTATTTTGACTAAAAAGGATCTATAAAAATAATCATTAAGCATTAATTCATATATTTCTAAAGATCTACTGTGGATTCATTTATTTTGGTAAGTTGAGGAAAAACAATATTTTTGAGGATACTTAGATTTTGTGATTTGCCAAAGTCTACATACAAGCTAATTGAAAAATTGGTACTTCATTGACCAGATAAACTTGTGGTTCACATTTACCAATGTAATCCACGAAAATGGGTACCCTACGAATAATCATGAATCCACAGTATTAATCCAATACTTTCTGAAAACACTGAATTTTTTTATTGGAAAATATATAAAAGTAATTTTGTCTATATTCATAAGTACACTTGAACACTGTTCTTTAAAATTAGTGTTACATAGATTATAGTGGACTTACATTTAATAAGCTGTAATGCAACATCTCAATAAAAAGGCGCCATCTTGGAATGTAATATCTGTAAAATTAGGTAAAATATTATAATAATGGTATTAAAATGTTCTTTCCACATATAAGACATATAAGGGTACATACATATCCCTGTTTCTCCTCTTTATAGTTGGATTATTATTCAGATAACCTTCATAACTACCATTCCCATCAAATGCAAAAAAAATTAAAAATTTCAGAGCTTGACAAATTTTCTAAGCCAAAAACACTATCTTAACAATTCAACAATCCTGTGTTTTTCTCTCAATTAATTCACACAAATAATCCTACGGTTGAAATTGATGGTATTTTATACTAAAATCTTAATAACTTACAACTTTTTCTTTATACTATTTTTTGTAAAATAGTTGCTGCAGAGCAGAAGAAATAGTAAACAATTTGAAAACTTTTTTAAAATCAAAGTGAAATCTGATACTACTGTGTTATAGTAGTCTCAGGTAAAGGACTCTTTTGCATTAGTATCACTGACAAAAATGTTTACTAAAAGTCACACAGAAATAAAAAAAAAGATATAAAATAAATGGAGAATGTGTCCTCATGGACACAGATGATGCCCCTGCTTGCATACAACATTATAAAGGGACATAACTCAAGAACAATAAAAGTGACGCTACCCAAATTTGTACTTGATCCAAGTTTTAAGGCAATAAGTATTGTGTATAGGTTTCATAATGTTTGGTTGGGGCAAACTTAAGTTACAGAACAGAAACTAAAAAATTTGCAATTTTTCGATTTAAAAGGGGCATAACTCGATAATGATTAAAGTGATGCTACCAAAATTCAACTTCATCTGTGTTTTGTGGTAAAAAGCATTGTGTATAAGTTTCATCACATTTGGTTGAGGCAACTTAAGTAAGGGAAAAATAAACCAAAAATTTTGCATTTTTTTCCATTTATAAAGGGTCATAACTCGAGAATGGTTAAAGTGACCACACCAAAATTCAAACTTGATCTTTATTTTGTGGTAATAAGCATTGTGTATATGTTTCATAAAATTTGGTTGAGGCAAACTTAAGTAAGAGAACGGAAACTAAAGATTTTGCAATTTTTCCATTTATGAAGGGGCATAACTCTAGAACGGTTAGAGTGATGCTACCAAAATTCAAACTTGATCTGTATTTCGTGGTAATAAGCATTGTGTATAAGTTTCATAACATTTGGTTGAGGCAAACTTAAGTTAGAGAACGGAAACTAAAAACTTTGCTATTTTTCCATTTATAAAGGGGCATTACTCTAGAACAGTTAAAGTGATGCTTCCAAAATTCAATCTCGATCTGTGTTTTGTGGTAATAAGCATTCTGTATAAGTTTCATAACATTTGGTTGAAGCAAACATAAGTTAGAGGAAACTAAAAATTTTGCAATTTTATCATTTATAAAGGGGCATAACTCTAGAACGGTTATAGTGACCCTACCAAAATTCATTCTTGATCTGTATTTGGTGGTAGTTAGCATTGTGTATAAGTTTCATAACATTTGGTTGAGGCAAACTTAAGTTAAAGAACGGAAACTAAAATTTTTGCAATTTTTTCATTTATAAAGGAGCACAACTCTAGAACGGTTGAAGTGACACCACCAAAATTCAAACTTGATCTGTGTTTTGTGGTAATTAGCATTGTGTATAAGTTTCAGAACATTTGGTTGAGGCAAACTCAAGTTAGAGAACGGAAACCAATTTTGGGACGTACAGACAGACAAGGGTAAAACTTGATGCCCCCTCCGCTACGGCGGGGGCATAAAAAGAATTGGGTTTTTTTTAATCACACAGTAGCTTACTTGTTAGCCCCTTAGCTCAATGAAATATTTAAACATTCTAGTACAGAGAGTTGTATGATATATACATAATTCAAGCAAATGTTTTAGGAAAGAAGTAGTTTTTGTCTACAGATGTCTGTTCTGTGTTGTTGTATTGCTGTCTCATTATCATATACCTAAGATTTCATTCATACGCTCCGAATAGCTGATACAATATCAATATTCTCATCTAGAGACAAATCTTCAGATTTAAATACAAATGTACCAAAGTTTATATTCCATGAAAAGAACAGACTTTATTTTACTTTTCATAAAAGGCATGCACTTTAAAAATGTTTATATTTACACGAAACAACATTTATATTACAATTAATCAAAAACAATGAAACTGGCTGATATTTAAGATCTTGCTTAGGACTGACAAATAGGCTGCTAATGGCAACTATTGCACTAGATATTGTGCAAGCTGAAATTATTCTTAAAAATTGTGCAAATTCTATAATCTTAAAAGAATGATAAATAAGCATTTTATGAATATGAGTATTAGTACATAGAATATTAGTGCTAATGAAGAATAATTTATTTTTATCTATTTTCCCTGCTAGTATTTGACCCATTTAGAATTTTTTTTCTAACAAGTCTCAATTAAAATAGACTCCACATGATTAATTAATTATGAATAATCAAATGATTGCAAGATATCATTATTTTAAGACTTGTTTTTTTCTAACTGATTTGAAGCCAAAAGCATAATATTTATTACAGATTACTCTGTAAATTATAAGCTTGTATACCACAATACATTAGATCATTAAAAATCAAGATTAAAGAAACACAAACAAAGAAGTTCAAGCTACAACTACTACATCAAACATATAATTGCTCTGAAGCTTGGAGAAGCCATTTGTATAATTATAACTCAAAGCCAATCAGAACACATGGGTGTTTATTTGACAATATAAACAACAAGGTGTGATCACTAGATACGCTATGAAAACATAAATATTTCCATTAGCAAATGAAATTACAAATTCATGGTCATGTGTAGAAGTGCTTATTTTTTAAACAAAACATCAATGTAAATTTTGTCCAATTAAACATTGTTTGTTTTGAAATGTCCAATCACAATGGGTCTTTCTGTTCACATGAATGCTTACGCATCACATATTTGAAACAATAAGATTGTTAACTCAAATGGCTTTAAGTTTTAAAATTGTATAAATTTCTGTCTAAAACAATAGCAACTCATAAATTAGTTAAATACTACATTTGACAACATGGCATTTAATGACAGCAATCTACCAAACGACTTCAATGTATACCTTGATACATTGCCTTGTGGTCTACATCTGACAGTCTACAACGAAGAATCATGTACAGAACAACAACTAACACTTGTATATAGACCTGGTGCTAACTATGACAATACTAGAGTTACAGACTACTTCTCACTACTGCCTGTATACTTCTGGAGTTGCCTAGAGCACATCAAGTGTGTTCAGATTCCTACAATGATGATACAACAGACTCCAGATGAATACAAAGTATCGTTACACTACCACCAAGATGACATCAGCCATGATGACTACCACCAACAAGATGACATCTGCCATGATGACTACCACCAACAAGATGACATCTGCCATGATGACTACCACCAACAAGATGAAATCAGCTATGTCTACCATCAGACACATGCCATAAGCTATGGTCACCAACATATTAGTAACTGCCACTATGATGACCATCAAGTAGATATAGACTATAAAGATGCCATCCATTTTGAACAGCTAGATGCCTACCACCTACAATATGACATCCACTATCATCATCATCAAGATTACTATATCAGCTATCATGTAGATGACACAGAATACTATCCTAGAGATTATTAATTGATTGGTCTGATGAATGACTCATAAACTCTGCAACTTAATGGTCAATAATGTATACTTCTTATTTTGGACTGCATAACATTTTCAACAGTATAAATGTATTTTGAAGTCTTTTTAGTGCTTTATCAATTTTGTGTACTTTGTTTAATAATAATGTATTGTAATTTACAGTGCTTTAATATTTCTAGTTGCAATAAATTATCTTTAAAACACAGTTGTTTCATATTTTTCATTAATATTTAGATTTATCTGTCTTGTTTTTTATACAGACATGGCATATCTGTCTATCTATAAAGACAGACAACTGATTTCCAATTTACCACAAAGAAGACATTTTAAAAGAAAAAGAAAAAAACCCTAGGTACATCTCATAACTATTCACCCTTATTACAAAACATGATCCATTGTCACTGCCTGGTTTCTGGAATAGTTGCATGTACAAGGTATTCAAATCATCTCCATTAATCAAGAATGTCCAAGTCTTATAATTTCATGGTTGTCTCATTTCATCGTTATAAGTTCAGTGAAATCACTCAACTGTTTTAGAGTGGTTGTTCTTGTACAATTTAACCTTTGTTAGTCTCCATTTCCCTTCAGGCTGAACTATTTGGCTTCTGTTTCATTTGATCATGAAAGAATTCTTGTTTTAGTCTGTGATTGGGTATTATGACAAACATTAAAAAATAAAGTTTACTCTCAACAAATATAAAATGAATAGAATCTTACCCTTTCATCAAACCAGACCATTGTTTACGACCATAATCCAATACCTAAAATAAGTGTATTATTTTTTGTTAATGTATATATATATGTTGATATAAACTTGAATGCAGGCTTTGGCAGAACTTACTTAGTTTACAACCAAAAGCATGGCTTGGAACTAATGAACTGAATGTTTATCAGCAGCTATTAAAAAAGTCTTTGTTCAGGTGATACTTATATAAACAAGAATGTGTCCATAGTACATGGATGCCCCACTCGCACTATCCTTTTCTATGTTCAGTGGACCGTGAAATTGGAGTCAAAACTCTAATTATGCAATAAAATTAGAAAGATCATATCATAGGGAACATGTGTACTAAGTTTCAAGTTGATTGGACTTCAACTTCATCAAAAACTACCTTGACCAAAATCTTTAACCTGAAGCGGGACCCACGAACAGAAGGAATTTGCCCATTTCCCTCCAACATGGTGACAATATGAAACTAGAGGGTCTAAAGAGCCTGTGTTGCTCAGAATGATCTATGTGCATCTTTAACTACGGCTGCTCACTAACCAGACTAGAATATTATTCATGAGTAAAATCTCTCTTTTTAGTTTTAGACCAAGTATTGCTTATCATCTTTACTGTTAACAGATTTCTGTATCTACTATAGTTGTAGCCCAAAATACAAAAATAGGTACAGATCGACATTTCAGGGCAACAGCTCCTATAAGGTGTCCAATGACAATTTGCGCTTTGTTCACCAATTCGTAGATCTTGTCTTATTGATCATTTTTGCTGTTTACAGTTTTTCTTTATCCACCAAAGTTTTCCCCCGAATGTTTGTGTCACCATGACTTTCATTACATGCTTCAGAATTTACAGCAGCATACAAAGCATGGGTTACACCTACTTGACTGTGAAATTTGATATGCCATCTGGTCCTGTGTGTTAACTTGATGAATTTTACATAACTGGATCTAACTTAAATGATCAAAGAAGGAAATCATTGTTATGTTTAGTACCAACCTCCCCTTTAGGTCCCCATAATGAAACCAAGTTTCTTGCATTGAACTCTAGAAGAATTGCTTCATTAAAGTCATTTGCCCACTGTTTAGCTGCAGCTATCCACTTCCCAAGTAAAAAATGTGAATCACTGGCCAGTAATGTCTCCATATCATTTAGTACACTCAAAAGCATCTGACTGTACAATCTGAAAAAAAATGCCAAATAAAAGTAATTGGCTTGTTTTTCACTTACAAAATTTCCCCCTTTTCCTCTTTTCTGCTTTATTATTTAAAAGGGTCTCAGCCAAATAACAAAAAAAGATGAAAAAAATAATAACAGGTCAGCACTATAAATGCTATCGACAACTGTTTTACCACTATCCAAAATATCTCTAAAAGGAGAATGTACGATATATACATCACTTTCTTGCCCCTTGAATTAGAAAATCATATATAAAAGGAGTAGATTTGATAAGGCCCTAAAATGGCCCCTATTTCTAGATAAAATTCAAATTAGGATTTATTGACTTATATCTCAAAGAATCATGGCTAATACAATGACTAGACAGGAAATATGTCTTTTTTTTTAAAATTTTACATACTTGGGTTCTAGTCATGATGTCACAATAGCACTCATTTTGATTTTCCATGAAAGTTTAATGAAAACGGGTTAATTTCCATTGAGTTTATTGACATGAAACATAGAGCGCATGCATCGACAAGAAAGATCTTTTAACATAATGCTTGTTATGACAATCTACTTATCTGCCTTTAATGTCTAGTTTGTCGACGGCTTCACTCTATGTTTCCTATGCCAGAATGTGGTTGAAATCCGGACAATTTTGTCAAATTTCTCAAAAATCTCAGGTCACTTGCTTTTTTGTTGAAAGCCATATGAAGATGTTAAGTGATTTTGGCCTAAAAGGGTTACTATCAGCTATTTCCATCATTTAAGTCTGTTGTCAATCCATCTATTTTATCTGTCAGTAAAGTTTTTGAAAGAACATCTAAGAACTTTACTGACAGATAAAACAGATGGATGGACAACAAACTTTAAGTGATGGAAATAGCTGATATTAGCCCATTTAGGCTAAGTGAACTAATAAAAAACTAAAAATGTCATACTGACCCAAAGTTACTGGTCTCATTGTTTTGATAAGCAGTAATCATTTTATCATAATACTCTAATGATATCATCATCAGACTGTTTCTTGATATGTCCACTAAATCATACCTAAAATCAATACAAAATATAAATAACAAAAATGTTTTCTATTCTATTTATTTTATTATTGACAGTTTCTGTGAGAAGCAAGTAAGTATTTTAAATCGTAAGACCATCGGAAGAAAAACCACTATCTTTGAATAAGTTAGTAACCCTTGCTGTTAAAAGATGTAACAACATTTTTGAATTTAAATATATTAATTTTCATAGTTCAATTTATAACATTACAAATAAAATAAATCACTTTTTCTACGAGAAACATTATAATATTTACAGATAAGATCCTTATCACAACTGTGACTCTTTTTGAAAGTATTCAAATGTCTGTTTAGTACCATCTTGGTGATCTCATTGTTGTGTGTTCGCCTTGAGTGTAAGAAGACCTGGGTTTGAACTTTGGCAGGGTCAAACCAAAGACTTTAAAATTGGTATTTGCTGCTACTCTGCTAAGCACCCGGCATAAAGGAGTAAGAGCAAAGACTGGTAGGCTAGGAGTCAGAATAATGTGTCTTGGTAGGGTGACATGTCTTCGCTAGGACTGTTATCTTGTGAACTTACACATTAAAAATTTAGCTCAGTGTGTTCTTGTCCTGAATATGTATTTAATTTGCCACTGGATGTTGGAAAGCCATTCAACCATCATCATCAAATGTTTGCGGTATCTGTAACCTTAATGCCTTTATAGTATTGGCATATTAACTCTGGATAAAAACTTTGGAAGCTAACTAAAAATTACAATCACAGGTAGGGTAGCTTTTAATTGTTTTAGCAACTTAGACTTACTGAAATAATGAGTTATTTTTATACTGGTCAGCTGAATCTATTAAAAGATCCCATGCTTGATATAAATCTTCTGCATCATACCATAACTATTACATAAAATAAAACAAATGTCAAAATTACTTGTCAACAGTTGTAGACTCTGTAGTTTGTCATTTCAGGATTTCTCAATATTTATGTGTTATTGTGCAAATGAAAGGTATTGGTTAATTTTCAAATTTTTTCTTTATCAACAATTTTTCTTGTGCTGTTAAGTTTAAATCAACCTGTAGATAACTTAACCTCAAAGTTAAAGATTGATCCATGTTCACATTCAGCAATGGTGGATTTCTGATTAGAGGCATTATTTGACTTCTGTTGATGCAAAAATGGTATAAGTTGTACATGACTATTGATACCCTTGCTATAAGTATTAGGTAAACAAGAAGTTGATGAGTGATGGATGCAAAATATGCATCACAGGTCAGAGGATGCTCATATGAAGGTTGATTTTAAATTTCAGAAAGCTCTGATTTGTAGTTTCTGAGAAAAATGTGACAAAATTTTTATGAGAAAGACAGAGGGAAGCACAGACAGACATTAACCAGAATACCACTCCTTTGAAGAAGTGGGGCTATAAAAAAATTTTCTTTAAAAATTAATGTTAGTTTTTATTATTATTGAATAAAATAGAATTTTGATCATTCAAAGTGAGGTCAACTAGTAGGAATACTTACATAAGGTTTAAGTGGAGGATTATACTGAGGTCGACTTGTGGGTATACTTCTGGATCTGTGGTCACCATTATTTATTTTATCATTGTATACACTTGACTAAAATTAAAACTGTCAAATTACACAATAAAATAATATAGTAACTGATTGCAATTCTTTTCATGTGAATTATGATGAAAAATATAACATTATTAATTACAACCTGACATGCTGCAGACGACTGTATTTACAGTAGCTGAGGATCTTAACCCTGCTTTCATGATATTCATATATTCATGAATTAGGAAGAATATTCATGAATATTCATGAATATTCCAGTTTTATTCATGGGTTCTATTCCAGTGTCAAAATTATTCATGAATAAGAAGCATGAATAAACTGGAATATACATGAATTCTTAATAACTGTATGAAGACAACCAAAAAGAATTGTTAAAATGCCTAAAGATTACTATAATGAAGTTTTTTTCTTTCTAAAACTAATTTGGGGACAAAAGAAACCTTTTTTTGGGACATGAATAAACATGAATAAACTTGAATGTTTGGACTTAGAATTTTTCTAATAGTCATATAACATGAATAAGGATGAATAATGATGAATGAAATTTTGACTTAAAATATTTCTCGATTGTGTGACAAACATGAATAAGCATGAATAAAGCTGCATGATAATGACTCAGAATTATGAGTGACCAACTGCATTAATAATACTGATGAAAAATGTAACTTGTTCTAGGATTTTGTTGTTTATTTGGACTATTTTTGGCTGAGGAAATATGTTCAATAACTAGATGAAAAAAATCATGAATATTTCATGTGACATCAAGCACTTATGTTTGATATTTTGAATGATCCAACTTAAAACTACTGCTTTGAAAAATTGGATGCCCTTTTTTTAATGCCTCTCCCCCACTTATTGCTTCTAAAAATAAAAGTTGTCCTCTATCAATGAAAAAGTTGAATTATTATTTGAATGCACTTGATAGATCAATTAATTGAAGTAAAGATGAAAAAAATAATTTTTAAAATATTTATATTTGAAGTGTTTTCAGGTTAAAAATAATTAAAAGTAATATTCTGATATGCATTTGCATTCAATTTGTTTTAATTTTTTTTTTTTTAGAAAAAAAATAATAAATTTAAGGAATATATTGTGAAAAGGTGATAAAAAAGAGGAAGTAACTGAAACATTTTTGAAATACACAAATTATTTATGACATAAAGCAAAGGTTATTTGTGTTAACTAACAATGTGTTTGACACCAAAGCTGTCAGGTGAAGCCCTGCACTTAATGGGACACTTAATTTGACAGTTTACACAGCTAGCTGAACTTCCTGTTGATGGAAGAATTACGAATTTCAGTTTGACAGTATTTCAAAGTCAGAAAAATGCCGAGATTTTCGCGATAAAAACGACAGGGCGCCCGAGAAACGCCAACGGCTGTTTTGCCAGACAAGCTGGATCGTTTTTGATTTTCTACCTGTTGTCCGGCATTTAAATAACATAGAAAAATGATCAGATCAATGATAGGCCAACGATCGACATCGTAAAACCTTGGTTCTCAACTTATGTAAACAAGTCATGACCACGTGGTTTTTAGTAATTGTACTGAACAGTCCGACCCTAGAAAATACCGTCCTAGATAATGCGGCCACTAGTTCATCTGCATGCACCCTGTGCCGATTAAATTAAAGGTTTTTTTTTCTTATTTTTAAAAACTGGCCAGTAATAAATACTTTTATACGACACCCTTAATAAATACTTTTATACGACACCCTTGATTTATTTTTATAATACCGTTACGGGGACGGATCAACTTCTGGCCGATATAATATGGGGCGAGATTGTCACCTCGACGTTAGCGTACTCAATAAAAACGTCATAAAAATGTGATTACGCTGTAGCAAAATAGAAGATTCCATGTGAAGATGTTTTCAGATAAGTGCATTAAAAATTTAATTTAACATGTGTATATAATGAGATTATAAAATATAATTTATTGAGGAACTATGATTTTTTTATGTTTTTTTTTTTAGCAAATCAACATCAGAAAATCTGAAAGCATAAACCTGGGAACAGTATATCTAATATATATGTTCCTGCATAAACTGAAAAATATATTTATTTTTAACAACATTGAATAATCTTGTTGTCACATAACAGGCATAACTGGTAGATATGTAAAAATTTAATTGAATTGTGTGAATGGTTATTTGGTGAAAATAATAAGTCGCTAGTTTTTTTATCTTCAGGGGGTAAAAAAAGAGGGAGGGTAATTAATTTGATTCCAAATGGCTTCCAATGTATACTGTATAAACATGCAATAATATTTCTATTGAATTTATTGCTTCAAAATGTCTAGAACAATTGATTCTTTGTGGATTTTTTTGATACTTTTAGGGGATTAAATGATTAAATGGAGCTGCCAATTTTGAAAGTAAACGGATTGCATGCAGATTCCAGTTACCTTTACTCAGCAATACTAGTTGGAAGTACAGAGACAGCAAATTTAATTACAGAAAGGAGGAGAACTTCACATGTATCCTTTATATCTGACACACATTTTTAATATTATAATATTTGAAACTGAACAGCGAGCATCATTAAGCCATGGTGAAAACTGCGTATCTAAATACAATTAAGACAATGAAATGCTTGAAGGTGTTAGTGAACATGGGGAGGAGGGGTGGGGTGAGTACCATATTAATGGGTAATTTAACAATATAAGCAGCCATTAAAAATGGCAAACAAGTTTGCTAGTAGTACTAGTATCTATAATTTTGATGGAAGTTTAAGGATCTGACATTAAATACAAGTACATTTTTTTTAAATCAATGGGAACTTGACAGCCATTTAAATAAGATATTAAACATGGCCAATACAATGTAATTCATGCCGCAATGTTTATATATACGTGACAGATTTGATACAACAAGGGCAATATTCATCTACCTTATAATGAGGAATATGCATTTAAACTAATAAAAGAAAATATTTGCAAAAGAACAAATTTGTGCATTAAAAATAGATTTTACTCAAATTTTTTAATTCCTTATAGAATACATGCAAGACATTAAGTCATTTTATTGGTCCTGAACTAAGGACATTCTCAGGATTATCCAAGAATTATCCCAGGGCCAACTTAATGCAAGCAAATCTGTAAATCCTGACATCAGGATAATTTCCTGAGACCAGGACCTGATGAATCCTAAGCACAGGATTATCACAAGATTCTTTACTATGATCATGATGATATTTATGGTCTGGATGGTCTCTGGATATCCCTGGAATATCCTTGTTCCAATACCGTCCCATGTTTAACCCTATCTCAGGATAAGGATTATCTCAAGATTGCCCTGGGATTTTTCCCAAGATTATCCTGCTGGGGATATCTTGTGATATCCTGACCCATTTTCGCAAGGGTCAGTCACCGTCACCAGGGGCATTAAAGTGATTTTCTTAATTAAAATGTCATTTAATATTTTAAATATTTTATATCAAGAATGCCAAAATAGCAAAATATATTTAGAACTGCATTTTAAAAGTCAAATCCTGAATTCCTGCAAAAAAAAGCTCGAGAAAGACCTTCTGCCCCTCATGTTTGTATTCATGGAATTCTAAATTTATTTCTACATTCAATATTCAAGAACATCTATTTCGCATTCATGGTTATTCTAGAATATTCAAGGATATTTCACATTCATGGTTATTCTAAAATATTCAAGGATATTTCACATTCATGGTTATTCTAGAATATTCAAGGATATTTCACATTCATGGTTGTTCTAAAATATTAATGGAAAATTACTTCACATTCATGGTTATTCTAGAATATTCAACCATTCAATATTCATGGACATCTTATTTCACAGCAATGGTTATCCTTAGTCAGTATTCCACTATCAATACTCATGGACATCCTTTTTCACATTCAAGAATATTCTGTAGATAAATATTCATGTTAATTCTTGGTTATTCAGTTCATACAATATTCATGTATATTCAAGGTGCCATTTAACATTCATGAATATTCATGAATATTCATGAATTGTAACCTTGAATATTCATGAATATTCATGAATATTATTCATGAATGTTCTAGAATTATTCTGGAATATTCATGAATAATTCCAGTTCAGGAAAGCAGGGTATAACCCCCCCCTAAAAAAAAAAAAAATAAAAACCAGTTATGGTTATTAATTTGGTTGGATGACTACCATCTGCAACTGGTGATTGGTCCCTGCTAATGTTCGTCTAGGAAAAATCCCATACAATGTTTTTCTTGAATTAGAGGTACTTATATTCTAAATACATTATAGATATAAGATGTGGTATGTGGGGGGGGGGGGGGGGGGGGGTAGGACCTTTATCGGGACTCCGGGATCGGGTGTTTTTAAGCTCGGGATTCCGGAATTGATCCTTTCGGGATCCGGGAATTCTTTTTTCGAATTTCGGGGTGTCAGGATTTGAATTTTTTTAAATTCGGGACCTCGAGATTCCATGTTTTTAAGCCTGGGATTTTGGGATCAGGACCCCTCCTACCCTCCTCTGGTATGAGTGCCAATGAGACAACTCTCCATCCAAGTCACAATTTGTAAAAGTAAACCATTATAGGTCAAAGTACAGTCTTTATGTTTGTTTTGTTTCTTGTCTTTGTTTTAAATGAAAATGTTTTCTTGACTGCTATTATATATAACAAATTTAGTAATATAATTTATCACTTCCGAATTTTGAACTATAGTGTAATTTATGCATTGTTTTATCCTGATGACTGTGCCCTAGGCACTGAAAAATGTCAATCTCATTAAATGACTGCAGCAATCCCTAAAGTGTTGTTGTTATAACTGCTCTCACATGTTTTTATAACAACCCTGTATACTCAAGGTATCCACTTTAGGCATTCTATTGTATTATAGATTCAACAGGCATTGGTTCACTATCGTTTGTAATTAAACAAAACAGTTAATACAGAATGTACTTGTGTAAAAATTACAATAGGAACAAATATAAATTATTGTAGTAATTTACCTATTTTCAAGATGTTTCAGCCAATTTAAGGCTTTCTTCAGTTTATCATTCTAACCTACATGATAGACAAGTCACTTTTCACAATGAGTTCATATCTATAACATCTACTGGTAAATGCATTTTAAAAAGTGACTTGACTACCACGTAGATAAAAAAGAAAAGAGTTGTTGCAAAAAATAAGTTTATTTCACAGACAATCAGAAATAAATACTGATCTTACCTTCAAATATTGCCAAGCCAAGTCCACTATTTTATTGTATTTCCCATATCTCTTTATTGTATAATCTGAAATCCTATTAATTGAATATATAACTAAATAATAGTAAAAAATTAACAATAAAATAAATTAACCTGTCTGATTATTACTTGGAAGGTCCTTCTCACTTTTGGATGAATAAGAACTGAACCATGACAGCAAATCTGAAAATCAAGTTGTCTTTTTTATCATTATTCTGTTCATTTGTTCTAATTCAACATATCCAAAAATTCAATGTATCTGCTAACAGGAAGCAGGTGTTTGACAGATCTGAAATGCCTTCACACGTAGCAACACATCACTGTCAAACTGCTGACCAAATATGAAGTCATTCTTTTCAGTAACTCTTAAGAAAAATGTGATCAAATATTTGTTTTCATTCAACACATGAAGTTCATGTATCAGAAAACAGAAAGAAGGTGTCTGAATGATCTAAAAAGTGCCCACATGTAACAAGTCATCACTGTCAAGCTGCTGACCAAATATAATGTACAACTCAGCTCAGTCAAGCTGCTGACCAAATATCATGTTACAACTCATCTCAGTCAAGCTGCTGACCAAATATCATGTTACAACTCATCTCAGTCAAGCTGCTGACCAAATATCATGTTACAACTCAGCTCAGTCAAGCTGCTAACCAAATATCATGTTACAACTCAGCTCAGTCAAGCTGCTAACCAAATATAATGTACAACTCAGCTCAGTCAAGCTGCTGACCAAATATCATGTTACAACTCATCTCAGTCAAGCTGCTGACCAAATATAATGTACAACTCATCTCAGTCAAGCTGCTGACCAAATTCCATGTTACAACTCAGCTCAGTCAAGCTGCTAACCAAATATAATGTACAACTCAGCTCAGTCAAGCTGCTGACCAAATATCATGTTACAACTCATCTCAGTCCAGCTGCTAACCAAATATAATGTACAACTCAGCTCAGTCAAGCTGCTGACCAAATATGTTACAACTCATCTCAGTCAAGCTGCTAACCAAATATCATGTTACAACTCAGCTCAGTCAAGCTGCTAACCAAATATAATGTACAACTCAGCTCAGTCAAGCTGCTGACCAAATATCATGTTACAACTCAGCTCAGTTAAGCTGCTGACCAAATATGTTACAACTCATCTCAGTCAAGCTGCTAACCAAATATCATGTTACAACTCAGCTCAGTCAAGCTGCTAACCAAATATAATGTACAACTCAGCTCAGTCAAGCTGCTGACCAAATATCATGTTACAACTCAGCTCAGTTAAGCTGCTTACCAAATATAATGTACAACTCAGCTCAGTCAAGCTGCTGACCAAATATGTCACAACTCAGCTCAGTCAAGCTGCTAACCAAATATAATGTACAACTAATCTCAGTCAAGCTGCTGACCAAATATCATGTTACAACTCAGCTCAGTCAAGCTGCTAACCAAATATAATGTACAAAACAGCTCAGTCAAGCTGCTGACCAAATATCATGTTACAACTCAGCTCAGTTAAGCTGCTGACCAAATATCATGTTACAACTCAGCTCAGTCAAGCTGCTGACCAAATATCAAGTTACAACTCAGCTCAGTCAAGCTGCTAACCAAATATAATGTACAACTCAGCTCAGTCAAGCTGCTGGCCAAATATGTTACAACTCATCTCAGTCAAGCTGCTAACCAAATATAATGTACAACTCAGCTCAGTCAAGCTGCTGACCAAATATCATGTTACAACTCAGCTCAGTCAAGCTGCTAACCAAATATAATGTACAACTCAGCTCAGTCAAGCTGCTGACCAAATATCATGTTACAACTCAGCTCAGTCAAGCTGCTAACCAAATATAATGTACAACTCAGCTCAGTCAAGCTGCTGACCAAATATCATGTTACAACTCAGCTCAGTCAAGCTGCTAACCAAATATAATGTACAACTCAGCTCAGTCAAGCTGCTGACCAAATATCATGTTACAACTCAGCTCAGTCAAGCTGCTAACCAAATATAATGTACAACTCAGCTCAGTCAAGCTGCTGACCAAATATCATGTTACAACTCAGCTCAGTCAAGCTGCTGACCAAATATGTTACAACTCATCTCAGTCAAGCTGCTAACCAAATATAATGTACAACTCAGCTCAGTCAAGCTGCTGACCAAATATTATGTTACAACTCAGCTCAGTCAAGCTGCTGACTAAATATCATGTTACAACTCAGCTCAGTCAAGCTGCTGACCAAGTATCATGTAAAAACTCATCTCAGTCAAGCTGCTGACCAAATAGAAGTCTTTCTGTTAAGCAATTCCTGAGAAAAGTGTGAAGAAATAATTTATTGGACAAACGGGCGACAGATGTTTTTGACAAGGTGATATCAATATAGGCCCCATTCTAAGATGGGGTTATAATAACCCAAGCAGACACTACATACTTATGGAATATATTGACTAAATGGTAGCTGATTGTCTCTTCCTGCAATATTCACTAGCCATTCATCATTACAGTTTGGGGTTGGAGTCTTTCACTGGTCATTTGGAAAAATATAAAGTGTACTCAATCTATCAGTTGAAGATAGAGTTTGTCAGTTATGCAAAAAAGGGCAATGATTTGTCTGCTTTATAAAACAATAAATTTGACTCTTATGAAATTATTTGCATGAGGAGAGTGACATTAACCCCCATTAACAAAAGACATACATATATGGAATACAAGTCTAAAAAAATAACATTCAATTATAATAACCTACAAAGACTTTCAAAAAGGATTAATTATCTACCGGTATACTGTCTCACCATTTAGAAATGTCTCTAGGTTGTTTTCTCCATATATTTTCTAAGAAGAATTCATAAATAACTTCATTCTGGTTAATACCTTCTGGTGTTAGTCCTAAACCAACCATGGTACTGTTAGTCATATTTCTACCTTCAAATGGTCCCTTTAATAAACATACTATGAGAAAACAAAACAACAAAAAGAGCTAAATCTTATAAATATTATCAAATTTCAACTAGTTTACACCATAATTAGTACATAAATAAAAGAAGAATGTGTCTGAGGACACAAATGCCCCCGCTTAAGCTTGCTTTTCAAAAGAAAATGGGATGGATGGAAAGACGGAAGGACGGAAAGATGGAAGGATGGATGGTCAAGGGTAACACTTTAATACCCCTTAGCCTTGTGGCGGGGTCATAAAAATCTAGTTGTATACCAGATTATGTTCCAGGTTAACTGTCATAACCCAACTTGTCATTTTTTCCAACATAAGAATTACATAGCAAGGATCCAATGCATTTTGCAATACACAACAACAATAAATGCTTTGTTAAACTGTATTCCTGTTATAAAATATGTGCTGCAGTGAACAACCCAATGGATGCCAGTAAACAGTTGTATATGTAAGGTTGAGATATATAGTGATTAGGCAACAGCTCAACTTACTGAGTTAATTTTGTCCAATACCCCATACAGTTCTGATGTTCCTCCAAAATCATGAAGCATACACCATATAAATGGCTGTCCATAGTAAGATTCTGTATAAGTATAAATTGGGGCAACTTCTGAGTATAAGTCGAGTACAACAATTCTTCCCTGAAAATAAATACGGTAATTAAGTATCAAACTAGTTTGTTGTAATAAAAGCATTCTACAAACTCAAATGTAATGTACATTTTTAAATCTTGTTTAACATTTAGATCTTCTGACTAAAATATTTGTATGTAAATTATTATGTAAACATAGAAATTATAAAATATTATTTATAAGTGTTGCCTGTCAGTTTAGCAGTTTTTTTAGATACATCATTCTATTCTTATTGATTTAACTGAAGTCCTACAGAACTATCAACATACTATCAATTTTGAATAATTAAGATTTTTTTATTTTGAAAAATGTGATGGGGTTAGAATAATTTGAATAATAACTCTAATCTTAAATTTTGATCAATTCTTTAATGCAACATTTCCAGATATTGCATTAATCAATCTCAATTCTAATGCAATTTGTATGTAACTATTTTTTCCTTTGCAAAAAGCTACTATCAAATCCACAGTTGACAAGTCATAACTAAGGGGTGACCTGCCATTTTGAATTGCTTGGATCAACAAATGTTCGATTACTACTATATTATTGAAATTAAAACAACGCCTACCTCAAAAACACCATTTTTTTATGGGATTTTATCCAAACTTGAATTGTAGAAGTAACGTTATAACCTTCAATTTGTAAGTTCTCATGACTTCTTTGTACCAAAATTGTTCATGAACCTTTGCAGAATTTTATTTTATTTCAAATTTATCCATTTTTTCAAGCTCCAACGTATTATTTCTTTCTTTTAATGCATTAGAATCAAAATAACAGTATGGTAGTTGAAGAGTTGCCGCCATCAATTTTGATTTGACGCAACTCTTCAACTACAGTACTGTTATTCCTTAACTATGGGTCCAATGAACAACAATTATATAATAAATACACACTAAATTTTCTCAATGTACATGGTGGTGTCTGTTTTTATTGGACTTGTGGATTTTGGTTGTCCAGGTAAAAAATTTGAAAATGGAAATGGGGAATGTGTCAAAGAAACAACAACCCGATCAAAGAGCAGAAAACAGCCAAAGGCCACCAATGGGTCTTCAACACGGCGAGAAAATCCTGCACCTGGAGGCGGGCTTCAGCTGGCCCCTAAACAAAAATGTGTTCTAGTTCAATGAAAATGGACGTCACACTAAACTCCAAAACATATAAATGAACTAAAATTAAAAAACATACAAGACTAAAAAAGGCCAGAGGCTCCATACTTGGGACAGGCGCAAAAATGCGGTGGGTTAAACATGTTTTGTGAGATCTCAACCCTCCCCCTGTACCTTTAGCCAATGTAGAATAAACAAACACACAGCAATACGCACAGCAAAACTCAGTTTATAAGAAGTCTGAGTCCGATGTCAGAATAGGTAACAAAAGAAACTAAGCAAAATGACAATGATACGTAAATTAACAAAGGACTACTAGCAGTTACTGACATGCCAGCTCCAGACCTCAATTAAACTGATTGAAAGATTATGTCTTCATCATATGAAAATCAAGCACCATCTCTCCCGTTAGGGGTTTAGTATCATACCATCATAAAATATACGAGAAGAACATAACCCGTATTATGCCAACAACTGGTTTTAGAATAAATGCGTTTATTTCTGATGCAAAGACCCTATGAGTGAACCAATATTAATTCCAAAATATGTCATCTTTAATGACCTGACAATAGTATTGTAACTATATCTCTTCTGAATAAGTCTGTTTAAAGGTTTGGTTAGCTTTTGAGGTGAATGTCAACATTTTTGTGCTTTGTATAGAATATTACAATAAAAGATTGGATGCGAAATACCTGAACGTATAAGATGTCTGCATGTTGATTTATATTTATGAATGATGTCCTTGTACCGATGATAAAATTTAGTAATTGTTTTGACTAGTTTGTGATATCGAAAAACCCTGGTGTAATAGTAATAATTTTTCAGTAATACAGAGATTTCTTTCGTTAAAATCAAATACGTTGTTACATACACGAGCTAATCAAACAAGTTGAGATATATAAACACCATAAGATGGTGACAAGGGAACGTCACCATCTAAAAATGGATAATCAACAATAGGAAATGAAAAATCATCTCTTTTATCATAAATTTTGATATAAAGCTTCCCGTTAAAGATATAGATATCAAGATCCAGGAAAGGGCAATGTTTATTGTTAGTATTAGCTTTATTTAAAGTCAGTTCAGCTGGATAAATCTCTTTAGTGTACATACTGAAGTCATCATTATTGAGAGCCAATATATCATCCAAATATCTAAAAGTGTTATTAAATTTTTGTATCAGATGTTGTTTCGATGGGTCTTTGCTGATTTTAGTCATAAATTGTAACTCATAACAATACAGAAACAGGTCCACAATTAGTGGTGCACAGTTAATCCCCATTGGAATTCCAATAACTTGACGATATACGGAATCTCCATATATATCAAACAAAAATGTTATCTAGTAAAAATTCAAGGGCAGTTATTGTATCAAAGCAGGTCCAATAGTGTATTCTTTTTCTTTTTACAGTATTAGAAATATGTCACAAGACAATATTTCCTTTCTTATCTGGCTTTTTTTTCAAAATTTTGTGAATTCTGAATTAAAAAAATGTTTGGAAATATTTATTCACAATTATATTTAGTTCCAAATTTCATTTGTTAGTCAGTTAATTTTGATCACTTTTTGGTTTGAATTATTAAACTGAGACTAAATATTCTTCTAATATATATTCTTCTTATAAGCAAGATGGTGTTGAAACAGATCCATTTAAAAAAAAACAACCATGTCATTTTACCTCTGGGACTGATGTAAGCATGGCTCTGATCTGCTCTGGGTGCCAAAATGAGGAATCAAAATGAAACAACCAACCTTGCATTAACCTGAAAATAGAATTTATACAAACCTGCAATCAATTGAAAGGAAAAATAACCTAAATCAAAAACATCAATGATAAATTAATGGTGCAAAATGCATTTCTCTATACTCTGGATTCATTTATTTTGTCAGTACCAATTTTCGTGGATACTGGTAAATGTTTTTTCTTGAATACATGATTTCATTGTTATAAGAAATTTTTCTACAGGCCGAACAGAAAGTTGTAATTCTTTGAACATTTGAATTCATCTTTCACCTCTACCCACCAAATCCATGAAAATTAAAGAACTTTTAGTGAGCAAGCTCCATTGCCCTACACCCCAATATAAAAGGCATAATCTTATAATGACCTGATAGAATAGATTTTCTGTCAACTTTCAGATATTTTTTTCTTTTTCTGTTATGATTTCAGGCAGACATAGTGACTTAAAAAACAATAAGGATCTTCCTATCATTCAATGTGAACATATCTCCAAGTAAGGTTGCAATCCCTTTTGAGGTATTTAGTTTAGAATCCAAAAACCACTTTTCTGCATTTCATTCTATATTTGGTAATTTTGACCTTGACCTTGAATGTAGTGACCTCAAAATCTATAGGAACCTTCTTCTTATTGTATGTATCAGAGAATGGTTGCATTTCCTTATGGTATATTTCCTTTAGCATCTGGAAACAATTTTTTTGTACAAATTTAACTCTTTTTTAGTAACTATGACCTTGATCTTGAATGTAGTGACCTCAAAATCAATAGGGCTCTTTCTGTCATCATATGTGACAATATTTCCAAGTATGGTTGCAACATGATATAAGCTTTTTTGGTGTTAACATTTTAAATCGAAAAAGAGTGACAGATTGATGGACATATGGAGGATATGAAGTATGGGTAAAAAACTATATAACCCCACTACTTCATAGCATTGAGGAAAATTAGTACCTTATGATCTTCAATCACACCAAAATATATCATAGTATCTTACCAGACAGCATCAGGATCAGCTGTTTGTAACACATCAAACATTCTACTGCCTACTTCATCTAAATACTGGGCTGAACTGTGAAGAAAATCATTGACATAAAGTAAAAACCATGCATTCATGTGCACCTTAGATTGTTGATTGCCCTATTCTTAAGCATTTTATCAAATATTCTGAAAATTAAGCTACTGTAAAGTATAATCAAATATCTGCTTCCGTAAATAAATTTACATGAATTCAAAAAAATCTTCAAAAAGTTATTTGTTTACTGAGACACCTGCTATTTTTTAAATATGTGTATCATACTTATCCAAAAATACAGACCATTGAGAGTGCTATATATTGGTTTCATTTTATGTTAGACAAGAATGCAATCAATTAATAATGCTGGAAAAAGACAATTAATTAAACAGTACGATTTTATATGGATTGACAGTAAGTTGATTTTAAAGAACAGAATTGAAGTCAAGAAGTTTTTTTTTTCATTCAGGATTTTCTTTTTTAGGACAATGATAATGTGCAATTTTGACCTCCCCTTTTTATTGTTGATCTTTACCTGTAATAAAAAAGGGCATTCGTGTATAGTTCCTCAAAAATAACCAATGACTCTGTTGATTAATCTGAACTCTGATTAGTAATATACTATTACATGTAATCAAATACAGAAACATGCATTCAAACAATTACCCTGATTTAGGTTGCATTTCATTAAATGAATCAATCTGGTATATATGATCTACTCCAAATTCATACTCCATCTAGTGAAGAAAAAAAAGAAAATCAGCAAAGTAGATCTAATTATATATTTCATATTTATACTAATTTTATGCATTTCACATCAATTGCTATTCTGCTAATTACTGTTACTATTTTAAAAAATGAAAGTAAAAGGTACATTTTGGGGCTTATTTGGCCCTGAGAATTCACCTGAAAAATTAAACATGACATAATACCATTACCAATCACACATATTTTCAGATTTAAAAATAAGGCTTTCAGAAAATGTGAATGTTACACACGCCCTTAATGACACAATTACTCTTTCATAATTGTTATTTTTTAAGCACATAATAATTGTTTGTATGGTTGACAGACTATGAATAATTGACATGAAAGTGCATATACAGCCTAATTCATCTACATTTTGGTCCCAATAACCATTATAAATTATTTACACAACCTAGTAGGAATTCAGGCCCAGTGTTTTCTGGGGAGATAATTTGTGAAAACTTATTCAACAGGGTCGTTTGGATTCAAAGTGGTGAAAGACTATTTATTTATTCTGCTCTTACAAAAAAAGTTGTCTACAAAGTCTAAAGACATGAATACTAAAAATCACTTCTGTGTGCATTTCTAGACATGAATATGAGGTTTTAATCTATCACTATTTTGTTTTTTATTCTATTACAACTTACCTCTTTTATAAAGTTGACACCAATAAGTTTAAATAATGGATCAGCAAAGTCCAGCAAGTATGTACTATAAATAAATAATGGTATCCCAATATGTAATTCAAAGTATTGGAAAAGAGGAAGTTGATGTCTGACAGATATGAAAAGTGCTCACACATTACAACTCATCACTTTCAAGCTACTGACTAAATATGAATACAGTAACTTGAAGAAAATATCTATTGGTTGCATAAACAGACAGACAAACTGATGGATGAGGTGAATACAATATAGCTCCCACTTCTAAAGTAGTGATATAATGACCAAGCATACCGGGTAGTCCTCAATCTTACTTTTACAATCCTGTTTTTTTTAAGAAAATGATACCTGGTTGGCTTATTTGGATATATATACTGTAGGATGTTTACAGACAAACTTACCAACAATATGTGTCATTAAAACCATTCCAGTTAGGTAATCTGGCTATATCTGCTTCAGGATACAATCTGAATAAAAAAAACCAAAAAACAAGAGTGCACACGCTGAAATGTCTCGCCTGTTTAACTTATGATTGAATTCATGTTGAAAGTCTGTAATATAGTTTTACTACAACTATCACATAAAATTAAGATTATCAATGATCCATGAAAATGAAGTCACAGTCAGATAAACCGTGCCAGAAAGACATGAACACCTAACAATTATTCCATACACTAAATATACTTGACTTGTTGCTTATAGTAATCTGAGAAATAGACCAAACCACAAAAACTAATCATTGTTCAATGAATCATGAAAATGAGTTCAAGGTCAGATGAAACCTGCCAGTCGGACATGTACACCTTACAATCATTGGCCCTACTGCTTATTGTATCTGAGAAATATGCCTAACCACTAAAACTAAACATTGTTCAATGAACCATGAAAATGATTTCAAGGTCAGATGAAACCTGCCAGTCAGACATTTACACCTTATAATCATTCCATACAACAAATATAGTTGACCTTCTGCTTATAGTATCTGAGATACACAGACCTGCCAACTATCCCAATTTATGGGGGATATCCCCATGAGAGGTGTTGACCTGAATTTTGAAATTCTTTATTCTATAAACTGAACACCTCAAAACAGGCATTCAAATGAGTAGGAAGGGTATTTAAGCACATACATACTCATTCAAACAATATAGTAGAAGATTGAAAACACTTCTGACAATATATGAGGAGCATTATGTCCTCTTGCTCTTAAAATCACCCATGGAGATTTTGAAAAGATGGCAGGTATGGATACAGACTTGACCACATAACTTTAACCTTGATTAATGATCCATGGAATGAGGTCAAGGTCAGGTGAACTCTACCTGACAGACATGTATACCTTGCAAGGAATCCATACCAAATATAGAGTATCTGCATACAAGGTATGAAGAAGACAGGTCTTCTAGCTTCTGAAATATAAAGCTCCATACCAATAGTTTACACCACCGCCGGATTGTAATCCCTATGTCTTGCATACTGCGACTTCTGTTGCAGGAGAGACAAAAATCATTGTTTTAATCTATTAATTTCAGTAACTTATATACTCTAACTGTTATTTATAAACCTCATTCCAAATTTGACCTGCTAAACTAATGTTGTAATTGGGCAACTTATTCAAATCATAAATTTACTGTGACTTGAGTACATATAGTCAAATAATATTTTTTATTAAACTACCATTTGTTACTTTGTTACATCCAAAAAAAATAATCAATTAATTTAGTAGTTTACCCATATGATAAAGGAAGAGTGAAGAAAGTCAACACTGTTAGTAGCACAAGTGAAAATTGTTAATATTTACATGAAGTTTGACTGTGTGATCTTTAACTTGATCAATTAGTGAGTTGATGACCTTTACAGAGACCTGAGTTTATTCAAGGTTTTAAGTGGGGTTGGCTCAATCTTATTTTTCTTGGTAGTGTTTTTTGGACTGTTATTTGTCTTTTTAATTTGGAAATAGGGTTGTCTGCCTTTTTTTTGACTAATGGTTTTTTGATAATGAATGTCCTTTAGTATTTTCTTCCTTTTCTATAATAATTTATCTAATTATAGAAAGTCTGGACAGGGTGAGAAAAGTTATTTTAATTTGCTATATTCTTTTCATTTCGTAGAATTTATATAATTCTTTTATTACATTGTTGCCTTATATTTATGTCAAAAAGCATTAAGCCTGAATATATTTCTTTCTTAAAATTTGAATAAAGTTTTAATGGTAGAAAATCTAACTTCCAATTCTTCTATGATAGACCACAAGCAATAGAAGTTCTATCAATAATAATAGAAATTATGGGCAATGGGAAGAACATAGTGTCAATGTATTAATATATGATAGAATGTCTAGTGCCTGTGGATAGGCCTAAATAACCTCCCATTTGTGGTTTGTTCAGTCTGATAGACATTAGATACACATTGTAACTTAATGATCACCTTGTCATAGCTTGAGTCTGATAGACATTAGATACACATTGTAACTTTAACGATCACCTTGTCATAGCTGGAGTCTGATAGACATTAGATACACATTGTAACTTAATGATCACCTTGTCATAGCTTCAGTCTGATAGACATAGATACACATTGCAACTTAATGATCACCTTGTCATAGCTTGAGTCTGATAGACATTAGATACACATTGTAACTTAATGATCACCTTGTCATAGCTTGAGTCTGATAGACATTAGATACACATTGCAACTTAATGATCACCTTGTCATAACTTGAGTCTGATAGACATTAGATACACATTGTAACTAAATTAACACCTTGTCATAGCTTGAGTCTGATAGACATAGATACACATTGCAACTTAACGATCACCTTGTCATAGCTTGAGTCTGATAGACATAGATACACATTGTAACTTAATGATCACCTTGTCATAGCTTGAGTCTGATAGACATTAGATACACATTGCAACTTAATGATCACCTTGTCATAGCTTGAGTCTGATAGACATTAGATACACATTGTAACTTAATTAACACCTTGTCATAATTTCAGTCTGATAGACATTAGATACACATTGCAACTTAATGATCACCTTGTCATAGCTTGAGTCTGATAGACATTAGATACACATTGTAACCTAATGATCACCTTGTCATAGCTGGAGTCTGATAGACATAGATACACATTGTAACTTAATGATCACCTTGTCATAGCTTGAGTCTGATAGACATTAGATACACATTGCAACTTAATGATCACCTTGTCATAGCTTGAGTCTGATAGACATTAGATACACATTGTAACCTAATGATCACCTTGTCATAGCTTGAGTCTGATAGACATTAGATACACATTGTAACTTAACGATCACCTTGTCATAGCTTGAGTCTGATAGACATTAGATACACATTGCAACTTAACTATCACCTTGTCATAGCTTGAGTCTGATAGACATTAGATACACATTGTAACTTAATTAACACCTTGTCATAGCTTCAGTCTGATAGACATTAGATACACATTGTAACTTAATGATCACCTTGTCATAGCTTCAGTCTGATAGACATTAGATACACATTGCAACTTAATGATCACCTTGTCATAGCTTGATTCTGATAGACATAGATACACATTGTAACCTAATGATCACCTTGTCATATCTTGAGTCTGATAGACATAGATACACATTGTAACTTAATGATCACCTTGTCATAGCTTGAGTCTGATAGACATTAGATACACATTGCAACTTAATGATCACCTTGTCATAGCTTGAGTCTGATAGACATTAGATACACATTGTAACCTAATGATCACCTTGTCATAGCTGGAGTCTGATAGACATAGATACACATTGCAACTTAATTCACACCTTGTCATAGCTTGAGTCTGATAGACATAGATACACATTGTAACTTAATGATCACCTTGTCATAGCTTCAGGTACATGTCCAGCAAAGCCAGGTAAAACAGGAATCATTCCTAAAGCTCTAATCCTGTCTAATATCTTATGCTGTAAATCTAGTTGGCCATCCAACCAAGTCTGTGTAGTAGGCCCTCCCCATCCTCTAAAGTTTCCCATTCTTGCCCTGTTATAAAAAGGCACTCAATCTATCACATTGGTGATAGAGCATAATGGCAGAGTAGTTATTATCCTTATCTCAAAGCTTTGTCTTTAATAATTTAAAACACTAATTTAACACAATTCTGAATCAAGAGCATGTCTCATAATATTCAAGAAATTACAGGATATCCTAATAAATAATATCTTACCAAGCTTGAAAAGCAGGTCCACCAAAATGTTGCTGCATATCTTTAAAGGTCATCCCCATCTTCATATATACCTGATGGGAAAGTCAAACATCAAGTAGGACAGGATGTTATACAATGTTTACCCCAAATTATTCTCTTTTTTAATAATACACATACATTGTATTTGGTAATACGTGATATATCATACTAATGTGGGAGTAGTAATAATTTTATAACTGTATTCTTATATTTTGCTTTGATCTATCTGTGTAAAATTTTTCCATCTGAAGCAACTCGACTGAGATTTATTTTTCTACTCGAGTAGAGTGAGAACAGGACGACGTCAGAAGCCAACGTCATTCATGTTGCCCTGGAAAATAGCAATAAATTGATTATCTTTGGTCTTTGAACTCAATGAATTTTCTTTGCTACATCTCATCTCCGGGCTATATCTCAGGGCTATTGCCCTTTTACGAAATTGTAGCTGAGAAACTCCCCCTCTTTTCCAAAATCATACATAATCTAGAATTCTATACTAGCCAAGCTAACTTTGAAGAAGATTCCCATTCCCATATAGATATTATTTTATCTACCATCAAACAGGTTGGGATGTGCAGCAGATCTGTATATGAAAATCCATTACACAGTGACACTAAACATAACAAAACTCAAACCTAATATAACAACATCCTTTATTTCATCATTTCAAACAAGCCATAAATAATTACTTTGTTGGATTTAGTACGAATACTATTTTAAACTATCAGCTAACTGTTAATTTGTTTACAAATTACAGACCAAAGACCAAAAGTCTATTGATGCAGATATAGCCAATAATCTGCCAATGACAGAAAAAAAACTTTCATAAATAAGGCAATATATAAAAAAAAAATCCTAAAAATTTTAATAAATGTATGATAGTTTTAACAACTCAGGAGTGTAAAAATGAAATACCAGTGCAAATTGTACCTACCCTCTGAAATATAGCCTCCTGACCATTAAACGCTAATGGAAGATTTATTCCATGTAATGCCATCCAATCTATTTGTTTTTCCCAGTCTTTCCACTGATACCAAACAAAGGAGTAGCTTACTGTACAAACATTCTGGTAAAATCTAAACCTGTAAAGATGTTCAAAACTGAATGTTCATACATGAATCACCTATACTTTAATTTAAATTATGTTTATCCAGTCCTGGACACAGGGACATTAGAATTTTGAAATAGTTTCCAGGACCACAGGGACTCACTCGTTTAGTGGATATATATTTTTGTAAACATTGTATTAAGTTTTTTTGGCATTTGGAAATTGATATTATACTGCACATTGCTGGTAAACATGCAAATCTTAGTGCAAAGTTGAAAATTTTTTACAAATTGACAAGAAATACGAAGAACATATTAAAATTACAATGATTAAAAAAATAGATATCCACTAAATGGTCCCTGTGGTCCTGGAAACTATTTAAAATTTCTAATTGGCTTAAACTTTTTCTATATTTTACCTTGTATAGTCTTTAATTACTAACACCTGAAGTACAGGAAAAGACTTGCAGATAAATATTGTGTGTTCACTCGTTGGCCTCTTATTTATACTTTTTGCTTAGATATTCACCAACCACTTTCTTCCATTAATTCATTACCACTGAAAAAATATCTTACTTAACAAATTATTGTGAAGTAATAATCGGTGCTTGTTATATATGTTTGTTATGTTTCCAAACAGAATTTTCATGAAATAGCTTCATGCATAAACAATTGTGTTCAAATTCTGAGATAAAACATGGCTACTGAACAGAAAATCAATGGCATCATGGGTAGTAAGGTTACCAGATTTATAAGAAAAAAACTAGAACTTAACAAATTACTAAAAACATTAAATTACGGTAAATGTATACTAACCTGTCATTAGCAGACACAGTCACACCAGACTTTGGTAGTTTCGGAAGTTCTTTTGGAATATGTAATTGCTGTCCACCCCATGTTACCTGACAATTGCAATAATTGGAAAGGTAGTAGTATATTCCCATGGCCACAGCCACACCTGTACTACCTTTCACACTCACAGTACCATTGTTCTGATCAAGCTGAAAATATTCAGAAAGGATTGTTTAGGGAATAAAGGTCATAGTGCATTGATATATGTTTCATGTTTCTCCAGATTTCAAAAAGAGCTTAGAGACACGGTAATAGAAAGGTTCAACAATTGTGAAGTCTTCTCTTGAAACCCCTTCTAACAAAAATTCAGGGGCTGTGGATCCCTTGAATCCTTCATATCTCTGGTTGGACTTTAGGCATTCACGTAATAAAACTGACAGTGTAAATGGAACATGTAGAATACAAGAGTGCACACGCTGAAATGTCTCGCCTTCTTTACTAACCATTAATTTTATGTTGGTAGTCCTAAATACAAAGCTTTACTACAAGTAACACTTAAACTTAACATGATCCAAGAAAATGAGGTCAAGGTCAGATAAACCAAACGAGAAATACATGTACACCTTACAATCATTCAATAAACCAAACATAGTTGACCTATTGCTTATTGTTTCTAAGAAACAGTCTTAAACAAGAAAACTTAACATTGACCAATGAACCATGAAAATGAGGTCAAGGTCAGATGAACCATGCCAGACAGACATGTACACCTTACAATCAATTTAGGCATTAAATATAGTTGACCTATTGCTTATAGTATCTAAGAAACAAACTTAACCATGAAAACTTAACATTGACCAATGAACCAGATCAGATGATACCTGCCAGACAGACATATACACCTTACAATCCTTCCATACATCAAATATAGTTGATCTATTGCTTACAGTTGAAGAAAAACAGACCAAAACACAAAAACTTAACACTGAGAAATGGACCGTGAAAATGAGGTCAAGGTCAAATAAAACCTGTGAAACTGACATGTACATCATAAAATATTTCCATACACCATTTATAGTTGACCTATTGCATATAGTATTAGAAAAAAAGACCAAAACTCAAAAACTTAACTTTGACCACTGAACCATGAAAATGAGGTCAAGGTCAGATGACACCTACCAGTTGGACATGTACACCTTACAATCATTCCATATACCAAATATAGTACAGGCCTGGGGTAATGGTAATTTGTAATTGTAATGCATTGTAATATTACATTTTTTTGATGTAATGCAAAGTAATTTGTAATGCACATTTTCTGCATTACAATTACATGTAATGTAATGATTACTTTAGTTAGAAATCAGTGTAATGCCTCCATTACTGTACATTACTTTTCATTACAAATTTGGAAAATACATGAAATTGAAGAATATAGTAAAATAAAAATAAAATATTAACAAAAACAAAAGAAAGTATTGAATAAAACTTTTGTCACAGTTAATTACTGTATTAAATCATTATTATTATAGATAGTTTGAGATTTTGCAAGGACAACATGGAAAATAATATATTAGACCAATTTGATTTACCACCTGACACTGATAAAATTTTCATAATTCTATACACACCTTGCATGTATTTCAATGAAAGATTGAATATGTCAATCAACATTTTTACACCAAACTGTTGTTTGGGTCCTGTCTATGTTGTTATTTCACCTAATTAATATCAAAATGTTTTTATTGCAATCAAATCTTCTCAACTTATGTTTGTCGTCACAGAGCCCTTAGGCATTTAACAAGATAATCCTTTAATGACAAATTATTATATCCCTTTGAAATCCCTTTATGATGTCTTAATGATTAAATGATCAATTATGAAACAAAATTATATGATAATTTATTTAATTAACCAGTATTTGAAGTCTATGTCTCTAACACGGTATATATATGTACATACACCCTGGTAATATTTATCAATTTCTTATAAAAATCTGTCTTTGAAATGTTTTTAGTTTTTATATTGAAAAAGAAATGTGTAATGTAATGCATTACACAGGCAAAGTAAATGTAATGTAATGCATTACATGTGAGAAAAAAAGTTATTGTAATTGAAATGGAAGAATCACAAAGTAATTGTAATGTAATGCATTACATTGCAATGTAATGGCCCCAGGCCTGATATAGTATACCTACTGCTTATAGTATCTGATATATGGACTTGACCACGAAAACTTAACCTTGTTCACTGATCCATGAAATGAGGTCTAGGTCAAATGAAAATTGTCTGACGGGCATGAGGACCTTGCAAGGTACGAACATACTAAATATAGTTATCCTTTTACTCATAATAAGAAAGAAATTAACATTTCCCGATCACTATCCCTATGTCGAGCTTTCTGCGACAAAAGTCGCAGACTCGACAAAAAAAACAAGCATTCTGTGAGTATTGCATGGCAATACATAGTCCACTACCGGTTACAAATTCATTGTAATGGAACAGAATTCTAACTTGATCTATAATTTGTCATGGTGTAAACTACATAAAAACATCAAGTCAAATTCTTCAAGCATGATGAAAAAAACTGTTGAAAACTGATTATTTAAGTGAATTTTCTATGTCCAAAGACCATAACTGCACAAAATTATCAGACTGGAACTAAATTCCAACTTGATCTGTAACTTGTCATGATAAAACTACACACTAATTATCAAATCAATATCTTCAAGAAAGACAAACAAACCTACCGCTAAATTCTTCAAACAATTTACCAAAGAAAAGGAAAAAAATCCAAAATGTCATTTTGTCTTTAAAAATCTTTTAAATAAAAATGAGTTATTTCCCTTTGAACAGATATCTACTAATTAATAATAAGTATTTCATCAAAAATTTAATTCTAGGGAAAGGGCTTTAACTGAACAAAGAGAAAAGCTAAACTCGTGAAAATTGAACTTGACTTGTAACTTGTCATGATAAATCAATAAACCAAATATCAAATCAATATCTTCAAGCACGAAGAAAAAAAGTCTGGAAAACTGATTTGCCGGACTGACAGATGGACAGACAGACAGACAGACGGACGGAGTGCAAACCTAAAGTCCCCTTCAACTTTGTCGGTAGGGGACTAATAACATAACATTTGAAACCTGAGCTCCAAACTCAAGTAAATTTGTAATTTTTTTTTGGAATTCTAAAATAATGTTTTAACATAAATACATACTTTATGCTTAACTACATATTAAAATGCATACATGAAAAGCGTCTATTTTCTTTTCTGCTATTGTTGGATCAACAATGGCTTTAAACTGACTTGCTCTGGCACCAACAATTCTCTGTATAAGGGCAGTAACTGTCCTCTGCTGAACATCTGCTGGAACTCGAGAGTATAACACATCCAGTGATGGAAAATCTAATAAAGTATACATGTAGATAACATAATAAACATATGTAAAACTATTTCTTCTAAAAGAATGAATTGCAGCCATGGTAATATGGAATATTAGCATGAATATTTTATGAATATCTTAAAATCATTAGACACTACTTTAAATAAGACAATTTCATTTTTTTATTTCTTGTGTTTTACTTAAGATATTTAGAAGTGTGATCTTGCACTATTTGAAAATTACAAGCCACAGTGTTCTTCACCAGAGAATTGACTTAGAACTGAAATCCATTTATAGGGTAATTAGTTCATTAAAAATAAAATAAAAAAGTGCAGGAGGTTGAGGGCTCAAATCCCGGCCAGGTCAAACCAAAGACTTTAAAATTGGTATTTGCTGCTTCTCCGCTAAGCACGCAGCATTAATGAGTAAGAGCAAAGACTGGTTGGCTAGAGAGTCAGAATAATGTGTCTGGGTAAGGTGACATGTCTTCCTATGGACTGTTACCTTGTGAACTAGCATGTTAAAAACCCAGCTCAGCGTTTGGGTCTAGTACTAAGCAGGGTAGATATTCATATTAAATTAACATGTTCTCTTCCTGAATATGCATATTCATTTGGCGCTGGACGTTAAGCAGCCATCCATCATCATCAGAACTTTCAAAGACAGTTTCAGTATTTTAATATCAAAACATATTTGCATACAATGATTTTTAAGCAGTAGAGAAATAAAACTGCTTATGTATGTTATATGAAGACGTTTCGAAATACACATAAATTAATATACTAAGTGTGTGAATAAAGGGTAAAAATATTGACATCTTTACAAAATTAGAGAATTTCACGTACCTTTTGCCTCAGCAACACAAACAAGTAGAATCAGTACCATCAACATCATTTTCTGTTAAAGAACAAAAATAATGTGGCAGATATTTTGAGGATAAATATTCATAAATAACGGTCAAAATATCTCCTGTTGAAAGAAAGCAATTTTTGGACAAGCTTTCAGTAACTGTGGACATACTCTTGATTTTGTACTGTATGTCTTTTATTTTGACAACTGTGTTTATGCTAAATACCTATCTGATGAGTCAACCCTTTTTAAACTGATTTTTACTGTTTGTACTAATGTTGTGCTTGTTTCACTACTGTCCATTGAGGTTAGGAGGAGACTTGATGAATCACAAACATGTTTAAGTCTACTACATTCTTTATGTGAGTGTCAAAAGCAAGGAGTCTGTTTTTCAGTGGTTGTTGTTGGTTGCCATATTTCATAATGGTTTTCAGTTTCAGTAATAATTAAGCTTTAATCAGGCTGTTAGTTTCTTTTTCTAATTATTTTTCATGTTTTATTATCCATATTTTTATTGACCTTTAACAGTTTACTACAACTACAATATGGATTTTGCTCATTGTTAAAGACTGTTAACTGTGATCTGTAGTTGTTTACACCTTTTTTCGAATTTTGGTATCATGATTTGGGTGAGTGGTCTTAGCATGCAATAAGCAGTTACTGGTATGGGAAAAAATGAAAATGATCATTATTTGCACCAGGTTCTGTGATGATAATGAAAGATTAGGACTTCTTAAGGTTCATCATAACAAATGGACAAAAATGACTGTTTAAACAACTTGAAAATTACTTCGAATACTAGTATCCACTAGCTATACTAAATTTAAATGCATTTTGTGTTTCAGAAAGATCAAAATGTTTTTTTTTGTTTCTGCAGAAGATGAATAAAACTAAGTCTGGTAAAATCTTTGAGATGCCCTCTCAGGCAACAGATGTATTGTTTTATTAGATATCTACACATGAACAATAGGTGATCCATTGTTACTGAGTGGACAGTATCAAAGAATTTAAAAAAAAAAAATTTTTTTTAACATCTTCTGCAGTAATGCCCAGCAAAATCCAAGAACGGTTTGATCTTTCTGAAACACTAAATGCATTTAGCTTTTATGAATCTGTTATGTATCTAGTGAAACCTACATGTAGGACCACAGGCACTTGTTTCTATCCATACTTGTATCATATATGGATAGTCGACATTCCCATGGATAGAAACAAGTGCCTGTGTGTAGGACTAAACTTTTCCAACTGTCGAATAGGAATGCACGTCGTTTCGTAACCTGGTCGTTTCGTACCTGGTCGATTCGTAACTACGTTGTTTTGTAACTGAGACGTTTCGTACCTGGTGTAATTATATATGGTTATAAAGTGGTAGTTTAAATAATCAGTTTAAATGAACAAGTTAAAGTTATTATTTAAAAATGATCAAATTGTTCATCTAATAATAACAATATTGTAATATTTTTAATTCAATACAAAATTCTTAAATCTTTTTAATTATTGGCAAATTGGCTAATTAGTAATTACGCTCGGTGACAGCTTTAATGGTTTTATGACAACTAATGACAGGTAATAAAAAGTAATTATTATTATTTTATTATTAATCCTCTTCATGTTCTTGAACACATAAGGCATCAATCAATGCAGAAGTCTGTCAGAGGGATGTTGTCTGACATTTGTAAACTGTGAATTATAGCGTTTTCGTTTATTATACCGTTAATCTAAAGTTATAACTACCTGAATGATACAATTTGTCTGTGTTTGGATTTGATATTTTAAATTTTTTTGAGTAGCTTAATTGGGAAACCATACATAGAAACGTTTGATTTTATCCTTACCCTCTGAAGTCTAAATATTTGTGTATACTGCTTAAAACAATTTCTTTTTAATTTAACAATTGCGTTTACCAAGCGTATGATAGGAAGAGAAATTAATTGTTGTTTTAACATTCAAGCTATGTGATCATAATTTTTACTGCTTGACGGGATACATCTGAATGATGATGGACAATTCAAATTCTTCTGTTCTATTCGCATGTGTGCAAAACTGTACTTGTAAAGTGTAAATTTATGTGTAATCAATTATTCAATAAATAAATGTAGATATATATATATATACATACATCAATAAGTCTTTTTATTACTTTTTACGTAACCTACTACTCTTATTGTTATTATATATTGATATAAGGTTACAAAACGTCTCAGGTACGAAACGACCTAGTTAAGTTACGAATCGACTAGTTACGAAACGACCAGGTTACGAAACGACCTGCACCCTCGAGTAATAATAATTTATTGTTAAGCTGTAAAATATATTTTCGGAAATTGTCATGTTTTGTTTATAAATGCTGTCATACTTGTCATTTGAGAGGATTATTCTAAGTTGTAAGCTATAACTTGTATCCAGTCCTATTGTTTATTTAGACAATAAAATACTTGTCATATGATCGTTTTCAGATTTTGATTGTGGACAGATTGAGATTGGGGAGAGAAACAAAATGATAGTGATTATTTTATATACTGCTATTGTAATTTCCTCCTCTTTTAGGTGCACTTCATTGGGGACAATGTAACTTTAATGCACTGTAATTCTGCATCTGCCAGGTAATAAATAACCTTCTTTAACAAGTTGAAGATTCAGTTATATACATGTAGTTTTTTCTAATTGGCAAATAACAAAAAAATTTTTTTACAGTACAACCGGAATGCTTATACTAGACCGAATAATCTGTCTCTTGTGTGGCTACTTTTGTCATTTCATATTTTCTTTTTATCATTATACCTATAATATATAGCAGCATATATAGGGGGGGGGGGGGGGGGGGGTATAAATGTTTTTCTGTTACAAATCATGATGTATTGTTTTATGTGAACATGTTATGTTGCCCATCAAGGACCCTTGATTGGAATAATAAATATTCTTATAGGGGGGAGTCATATATTTGAGATTTCATGTGTTCCTTAGGGAGCTACCATTTGATTTTTATGGGGGGCTAGGATGAAAAATTTTGTCCTGCATTTTTTTTAGTTGTAATCTCTGTCCTGCCTTTTTATTTTTCACTCTATTCGGTCCTGCCTATTTTTTTATTAGTTTATCCTGACTTTTTTTTTTGCCAAGTTGCTCATCCTGCCTTTTTTTTTACTCAAAACTCCTGTCCTGCCTTTTTTTTCAAATTTCACCCTAGAACCCCCCTAAAAATCAAATGGTAGCTCCCTTAATTTCTGATATCTGTTGAGTTGACTTAATCTTAATTCATAATCAACCCTTGATACATTTCCAAAGTAAAATCTTGGTTTCTGTTTGTTCCATACCTGCCATCTAAAGATACTTTTGAAAATTCTCTTGTTGCCAAAGTGACATTTATGGCTTCTACACACAAATCTTGTTGATTGTGTAGAACGTCAAAGGTCCATGGTATAACGTCACAATACTGAGGGGCACTGACAACGTCAAAAGACAGCGCCAAAAGGATGACGATGATTTTGGCGGGAATGAAGCAAACTGAATAAAATGCATTATTTGTATTCTTAATTTGTCAAAATGAAGTTTTTATCATGCTTTTTTCAAAAATATAATAAAAAGTATGGGTCACCGAACTTTTTTTCACGCTAGAGGTTGTGCAAAATTGTCAGATTTTGAATAGATTATGCATGGAAAATAAAATTTTGTGAGATAAAAAGAAAACTACTTGATAGAACTTTAAGATAAAATGTGAGAAGATAGCTCTTATAAGATGATTTCAGATAAGAAAAAGAAAAAATGGGGTCACCGAACTTGTTTTCTTGCTACATATCAAAATAGGTAAATTCACAACACTGTCTATTATAAAATTTACTTTATCTGAGTTATCTCCCCTTATTTGACAAAGTTGAAAAAAATCTAATCAAACACAAATAAAGTGTTTTTGAGAAATTACAGCAGTAATTATGATAAAACACACAATTTTCTAGATTTACATCAAAAGTCTTTTACAAATTACATAAGTTACATACTACTCTCAAAATTTGCACATTTCATGAAATATCTAGACCAACGTTATCTGCTACTTTGAAATCCAAGATGGAGGAAGACACCCGAGCCACCTTAAAACGGATGTCAAAAAACGATACAGAATCATAAGCTTGTTAGTACTATAATGCCAACTTATTTAACGTGTTTACTAATTATCTAGTTCATCATTTTCATGTAAAATGTTGCATACTTTCGAGAAATTTGTTAAACGTTTTTTTCATACATCTTTCAATCAGAATATCTCATATAATAATCGCATTCCTAATAAATAATCATAGAAAAGGTAACTACTATACTTGATTACGCGAAATATTAATATTCACAATACACGCTTTATTTAATAGAACTGGAAAATTTCTTTAGGGCTCAAATGCCGCGATTGAATTCTCAGTGAAGATTTTTTTTTTGTAAAAGTACACAAATGTTACCCGATATACTTGTATTGCCATACGATATTTCAATACATTTTTATACCCGTTTCATCATTGAAGCACTAATCTAAAACTATTTATTTTCATTCGAAATGGGGATGTTAAATTAGTAGGTGACCCAATGATTTCTTTTCCTACCCTACATATCATCCTTTCCCAGTGGCAACCTCAATTTTCAGCCATTCATCACAGATCTTTTACTTTGTAGGACCCACTGAGCAACAGATTTATTGTACATTAAATTTCAGACGTCCTTTCGTGTATGCCAATTACAGTGTGTACGTCATCATAGAAAATGAAAATGAATTATTATTGATTCAGGTTCACTTGTAGACAATAGAAATCAATTTTAGAGAATTTCTTCAATCACTTTTCTGGTTTTTTTTTTAAATTCGTATTTTCAAACATTTCTCTAAAATTTCGAGCAATAAGTGGTCAACAAAATAAAAAAAACATGATTAAAAAAATAAACAAAATGAATATGGATAATAACGTCTATAAAAATTATTTCCTCGCCTACCGAAACAAGGCTTGGAATGAAAATTTTTATCTGACACGTTTGATACTTTACAACAAGAATTAGTTCATAGAATCGGCTGCTCGGAGTTTTTATTTATTTTTATTTGTACACTCATTTTTTTTAATTTTTATTTTTATTGGGGCCGTTGTTTTGTTTATATAATTATTTGAGAGATTTTTTTACGGTATTTATCAATTATAAGAAGGTTTACTAAGCTAATCGGATAACAAGGATAAATATATTTTAGAGGTGGTTAAGAATCAGTTATGCATTTCACTTGACAAAGATAAAACAAAAGCGCTTATAAAGCTAGTAGCAATATGGGTATATTATTTTCATTTCTTTTTAAAGACAAGAAAGATAATAAAAAAAAACTATATATCAAGGTTAAAAGTTGTATTTTTAAATAATATTGTATTAAAAACATCGTTTATAACAATCTTATAGCAATAGTTTTCATAAAATTACTTTTACATCGTTTTTCATAATTACGGCTACATTGACGCGGGAAAAATTATGGACGGCGGGAAAGCGCTGTTCTACAGAGAGGCACAAGTTTTGCAACGTCACAGATATGAAACGTCAAGATGCTTTTGGCGCGACAAAGCAAGAAAAAAACTTGGCAGCAAGAGGGTTAAGTGTTTGATAATATTTATAAGGGTTACAATTATCACGGCATTAATTGTTATGTGCACTAAAACAGTCATTATAGTGTCACATGTCTTATTTTATTTTATGGTATACTAATAAGGAGCTTAACCGCTTTTTTCTTCTTTTTATTTGCATAATTCTTGTACTTAAAGACCAAACAGCCTATTGTTTATGCGCATTAACTACATGTAATGCAACTTGGAAGTGACATAAAAGCTCTATGACGTTGTTTCTAGCCATGAAAAAACGTCAAATTATAACGTCCTATTTCGCGTTTTTCACGGATTCCAACAGGTGTACGCTTAAAATTGGAATTAAGCGTCGCGCTGACATTTAGTGGAAATTAAACACGAATGGACACAAAAGATACTACACTATCTGTGACTTCCGTACTAATAAAATAATGAAATATAAATTTTGAACTCAGCTTTTTGCATTTGCGCCGATCTGCATTTAACTTTTTTTCTTTCACTTGCGCCTATATTTGTCTTTCATTTGCGCCGATTGTGTACAGGTAAATTATAGGTGAAAGTTATTTTTTTTTTATTTATCATATAAACCTCTTCCGTTATCCAGCTATACATATGTTATGAATTGTCAACTATATAATGTATATAACTGTTGTCCCCTGCTCACAAAGGGGCGGTGGGAGTAAAATTTCGAGCAGGATAAGTCAATTTAAAAGATATCTGTGCATTCGATTCAATACAGTTAATCACGGAGTAAATTTCTATTCACAGCATTTTAAAGCACCACAATAAAATCACTAAAAACGTGTTACAATGAATTAATTATTATCTGTTCTTGCCGAGTATTTTATATGCTACACATCGGATATATAAAAAAGAAGATGTGGTATGATTGCCAATGAGACAATTCTCCACAAGAGACCAAATGACACAGAAATTAACAACTATAGGTTACCGTACGGCCTTCAACAATGAGCAAAGTCCATACCGCATAGTCCGTTACAAAAGGTCTCGAAACAACAAATGTAAAACAACGGACCGTGCAGTATAGCCAGTCAAGGTTGTTAAAAACTTCCATCGTCATGTAAAACAATTCAAATGATATATTCCTTTCTCGTCATTTCATCTTTTCTATACGTGTTGTACTTGCCATCTTTTCCAGTGTCAAACCGAAGTTCTCGAAAAATATGACGAAATTGATCTTAAACATAAGGGAACACTGTTTATATCCATATATTACCAATATACATTCTAGGTTTACTGCATGTACATGTATTTAATCGTAAAGCAAATATAGTATCGGCGCTAGGGATAACAAAATAAAATAGGCACTGATGAAAGAATCAAATCCGCGCAAATTAAAGATCGAAACTGTTTTTTAATCGGCGCAAGTTTCGTACGTCCGTGTAACTTTACACTGGTAAATTTTAATGACTTACGCTTAGAATTTGAACTTATGTGATTTTCAAAATTGAGTTTCAGAAGGTTTAGCCGATAAACAATACTTTAGAGAAAAGTTATGCCGGAGTAATTTTTATATTTTAAATATTCATAAATAATGAATCCACAAGCTAGATGGAATAATTTGTATACGATCGTCTTAATCGGAACACATAATGGTATAAAGAAGTCTGTCCGTCCGTCAATAGTGGCAAAGGAGTGCGCTAGGGCAAACTTCTGAAACTGACGCGACGAAAAAGCCCACACATCTAGTCTAACTTATAGTCAAATAGTCTGCAAGTTAGCCAGTGTAATCTTTCATATCTATTTTAAAAGATTTTGCTAATGAGTGGGAGAGGACAAAAACAGACTTTCCTTTCAAACGCTGCGTAAAAGGTTATTTCGAACAATTTTTCATTCCGACGGTTGATTTGTTTGAA